ATTATCTAAACATATTTATCTTTATCGACGATGTCTGACTCGTTTGCATAGCTGGTATTTGATTTTTAAATAATTTTTCTTTTTAATTAAAAAAAATTTTTTTAGTCAAGAAAGATTGTCTTCTGACTTGATTGAACGTCAACAGCGTGTTTGCTCTAATAATAATAACGTTATTGTTTCTGCTGCTCATCAGTTTCCACCACAGTCATCAGCTTCCACCGCATCAGCTGCCACCGCTCAGGGTCCTCCACAAATTTTGCAAGCTTTATCTGCTCCTCCAGGCTTTACTCCGACTACTTTTATTCCTTTCGAATTTGTTGACTTTATGAACCAGGTATATTTATATTAATTAGGGTTGTTAGGTCTGACCAATGAGTGTGTGCATTATTGACTTTAATGCCCTTTACGAACTGACTGAAAAGTCTGATAGATTGAATTTTTCTATCTGCTTTTTGGCACCTCTGGGGATCTTGGCAGCTCATTACCTCTATCGCAGTCCTGGGCGGCGTCACCGTCCTTTCTCCCCTTTCAACCCCTTGGCCCAATAGGTCCCGCCAGCCCCAGCATCTCTAGTTTCACACAGGACCGGAACCTCTAGAATAAAAGATATGGCCTAAACAACCTGTACATCCTAACTTCTATTTCCAAAAAAATATTTTTTTATAATTTTTTAGTTACCATTTCCTCAAACACAACCACCTGGTATGTATTCAAATGCTATTTCTAATATTCCAATGACTCAATTATTTAACAATAATAATGAATGGCCTCCTCTTCAACCTGTTGGATTGGGAACTAATTTAGGTGTTGGATGGAATACTTTTGGTACTTCATATGTTTCTGGAAATATTAATAGTGGAAAGATGGTAAAAACTTAATTTTATTTACTTTAAATTAAAAAAAATCTTTCCATTGTTAGACCTATACTCGTCCACCTTCAATGCCAAATTCAGCTCCAATCGATCAATTTTTCCATAATTCTGCTCATGTTATTGTTTTACTTGGACTATTTCTTCGTTTAGAACAATATGGAGAATTACTTATTGAAATGGATCGGGAAAAGACAAAACAATTACTTCGAATGATTTTGGACATACATTCACCGATTACATGTAAACATTCACCGATTACATGTCTCCGTTTCGGTTTTGGGGTTTTAAAAATTTTCGGAGTTCCAAAGGCCAGATTTATAATATTTTGGTAATATACATCTGCGGACTGAAATTTGCGGACATCCAATAAACCTTTAAATATCGACCATAAATTGAGTTTATGTGAAGTGAATAGTCGATTATAGGCCAATTTATTAAGAATAATCCAACTTCTATTTATTTTAGCTCCAAGCTCTAGAGTTGCCTTTTTACGTCCTCGTACAGGTGGTGACTCAAAAATTCGTAGTAATGTTAAATCAACCTCTGTAACTCCCAAAAATCTATTACAACAACAACAAAAGAATATCAACCCTTCATACTACAATTACCATTATTACACTCAAAAGCCACCAACTTCTTCAACAAATTTATTAGCAACATCTCTTCCTGCTTCCTATAATACAAATATTAAATCGTCATCACAACGTTTGGGTCGTTATGTTTCTCATGAACAACAAGGTTTTATTTTTTTTCTAATAATTCAAAAAAATTATAATTTTTCAAAGCTCATCAAGAAGAGCTTCTTTTATTCCCTTTTGTTGTACTTGCTCGACTTTTTAACACTTTTGATCCTGCTGATGTTGGTATTGAACGTGCTCAAGCACTTCGTGATAAAGCTTTAAAAATGGGAATTGTTGATGTTTTGTTGACAAGTTTGGCTCATTTTTCAAGACAACCAAATCGTTTGGAGCCTTTACATCCTGCTATTGCTGAAGAACAACCAATGGTTTATTCAAATGTTTTTGGCTTTTAAAAAATATTTTTTAAAAGGTTGAACTAATAAGTTATGTTTTGAATGCTGCCTTTCGTATGGAACGTCTATTCCAACTTGCTGGGACTTTACAACAACAGACAATGGATTTACAACTAATTGGAGGCAGTGGAGGTGTTGGTGGTGGACAAACTGATTATATTGCAAATCCATCAATTAATTCAACTAGCAGCTTCCATACCGGTGCTATACCTACAACGACGTTATCTTCAACAACAATAGATTCGACAACAACGAAATCTCATGTCCCAGTATCAATAACACAATCTAGTACTTCGTTAGCCACAGCTGAGGATAAAAAAACTCCAGTTGTTATCACCTTGGGCGATGATTTTGAATTGTCTGGACCAACTGAAACAGGCAAAACTCCAGTTGTAAAAACACCCACTACTGAAGGAGGAGGACCTTCAAATATTCCACCCACCAAAACAACACCGACACAAACAAGTGCTCTTACTCCAGCAACACCTCCAACTTCTATACCTCAACAGACAACTACTGCAACAACACAAACCCAAAATGATGGAAATTATTGGGCAAAAGGCACAGGTTTTGGTAGTGGAACTACTCAACAGCAATGGAGTCTTAGTCAGCATGTTGCAAAAAGAAGGCAAGATGAAAATAATGTTGCAGCATTGTTACATGTATGAATTTTTGTTTAGAATCTGGAATTAAACAAATATTTTTTTCAGATTCTTATCGCCTTTATTAGTCCTCAATCACAACGATTACAAGAAAATCAATCAACATTTTCAAATAAAAAGGAAGAAGAAAAACAAGAAACAACAAATTCTGGAGATGGAATAGAATTAGTTTTGCCAATAGAGGAATTAACAACTTCAAAGGAAGATGAAAAGACAAATAAAAGGAGCGATAAGAATGAAGAGGAGAAGAGGAAAGAATTGGATATTCCGAGTATCAAGCTTTCTGAAGAGTTTGTTGAACTTCTTTTCCGCTCATGTCTCTTTTCTACGCTCAATTCTTATTTGATGAATGATTCTGGTAATTTTAAAGGATTTTTTAAAATTCTTGTTTTGCGCGTATTTATTTTTTTACTATGGGTAGGGGATCATTGAATACCTGCCGTTTGTGTACCTGGCCATATTTTGGGCCATAACTTTTTTGATTCTTAATTGATTTAAATAATTCATATATCAATCGAAAGCCCTGGATGTGAGGATTATTTTTGCTAACAGGATTGATTTGATCAGATCATTATGCAAAAAGTTACAGACAGATAAAGATCAAAATCACGATTGCGCGCATTTATCTGTCTGTAACTTTTTGCATGATGATCTGATCAAATCAATCCTGTTAGCAAAAATAATCCTCACATCCAGGGCTTTCGATTGATATATGAATTATTTAAATCAATTAAGAATCAAAAAAGTTATGGCCCAAAATATGGCCAGGTACACAAACGGCAGGTACTCAAGTGGGACGTTCCGTTTAATATAGTTGAACCTTATTTTTTAAAATAGATACACTCAATTAAAATACTTTTCTTCATAGGACACTATTTTTCGGCCCAAAAGGGGGTGTCTTATTTAGAGACTTACAACTAGACAGGATCTTGGACAAAAATCCCGGTTATCGACACCGATATTTTTCGAGATATCGATTCTCGTACTACCTTCTAGTCATTTCTCTAGTAGAGGTTGGCAAAATCGTGTTAGCGGGATCCCGCGGGATAAAACTTTTCTAAAAATCTTTGCGGGACGGGATCCCGCGGGATAAATCCCGCACTCCCTCACTCCCGCAAAACGATAAAGTGCGGGATTGCGGGACGGGATCCCGCGGGATAAATCCCGCACACCCGCAAAATCCCGCAAAACGAAAAAAGTGCGGGATTGCGGGACGGATCCCGCAAAAGCCCGCGCGGGATCCCGTCCCGCGCCGACCTCTAGTCTCTAGTCTTTTTTTAGCTAGGTTCAACTAAAAAGTGATAATATTATTTTAAAAATTAAAAATCAACAAAAAAATTTTTCAGTTTTGGACATTTCAAAACGTGTACACGCCTTTGAGTCTGTTATTTTGTTGGTTGATACAATCGCTAATGCTTTGCCAATCCCAATCAATAATTTATCAAAATTCCCAAATGCTGCCATTTTTGATCAACAAGGAAATCAGGATATTTTTGATATTATTTTTTTGAGCGGAGAAAAACAAATCCAAAAACAAATTGGCCATAAAAAGAAATTACAACAAATAACTGTTGCTGAATCTGAATTGCTTGATCGTTTAAATAAATTGGGTAAAAATATTGAAATTTATTTGAGTAAACTACAAACTGGACATCGTACAACAAATACAGCAACAGGGGAAAGTCTTTGGCAACGAAATGCCAAAAGAAAAGCTTTGTAAGAAAATTTTTGGCGCTGTTCTAGTTTATGCGTCCAATGGACTTTTATGCGTCCAATGGACTTTTATGCGTCCAATGGACTTTTATGCGTCCAATGGACTTTTATGCGTCCAATGGACTTTTATGCGTCCAATGGACTTTTATGCGTCCAATCAAAAGAAAATTGGATTTTTCTTGATGTTGCAAAGTTGGGGTATGGTTCCAAAACATTTCTTCATGTTTGGGACCTACGCCCACTGGGTCTGGGACCATTCCTTGCCCTTTCTTCATTATTTCTGAAAGAAAACAGTTTTTCTGTAACTTTCAAAAATTGGCTGTATCTTTCAAAAATTTCGAAGGATAGAGTAAGGGACGGGCCCAGACACGGGCGCAGGTCCTGAACACGAAGGAATGTTTCGGAACCATACCTAAACTTTGCAAAATCAAGAAAAATCTAATTTTCTTTTGATTGGACTCATAAAAGTTCATTGGACGCATAAACTAGAACAGCGCCGAAAATTTATATTTTTTTATAAAAATTTATTTTTTAGACGAAAAACAACAGCTATAAATTCTTCAAAAAGTCAGGCTGATTTGGAAGAAGAGGAAGAACTTGGAAAACTTTTAGATTTGGTTCACAGTGTTTGTTCTGCTATTAATAAAAGTATTTTCTTTTTGAAATGTTTTTTTTTTTTAAATTTATTTTTAAGAGAAACGAATTCATTCTTGTATTGAAATGGACTTTGAAGAGGCCGAAGAAGAACAAAATAATGAGGAAGTAATAATCGCTGATAATATTGAACTAGATCAAAATGTTGCTTCTTCGTCGAATGCTTTGCCTAAAGTGTCTGATGCTGTTGAACGTTTCTATTGCGATAAACTTAGAGGATTGCAATTTGGTTGGGGGGTTTTTTTTTAATTATTTTTTTCAAAAATATTTATTAGACATTCGTGTTAAGCATTCAAAAATGATTTTAATTTATGTAACGGGTTTTGAGTAATTTTTGAAAATATTATGGGTATAGGGGGTTTAGGGCGTAGCCGGGGGGGGGGGGCTGGGGCTAGCCCCCCCTCCCCCTCGAAATCGACCCCCTGGCTACGCCCTTGTCGGGGGTGTACCCAATACTATGTATGTCCGTCCATGTTTGTTTTTGCTGATTGTGAATTTTACCCTTTATATAGACCTCCCTTTCACTTGCACCATAGGGATAATTTTTTGAATTTTATTTAAACAATTCCCTTGAAATTTGAAAATTTTATACAAAAACGGGAGGGGGGGTCGTAGGCGAGGCGCACTCCCCCCTATGGTTTTTGACCATTTCGAGCCCTATATCTCGGTTCACAGGCATCTCCGTGAAAAAAGAGTAGTACCGTTCGACTTAGCACCTTTTTCTACCCTATATATGACATTTTGAACATTAATCTAGGGGGTTACGTCATAACGGAAAAGTACCGACCTCCCTTTCATTTGCACCATAGGGATAATTTTTTGAATTTTACTTAAACAATTCCCTTGGAATTTGAAAATTTTATACAAAAATGGGAGGTATTTGGGGATAGTTTAGACACCTCTCTCCACCCATAGTTACTAATTTAAAAAAGTACTCTAATTTAATTTTTTAAAGAAACAATTCCCTTCTATGAACCTATGGGTAACAGCAACAACAACAACACAACTCCAGTTATGTGTATACCTTTCCATTATGCAACATCTTTAAATTCAATGGCTAGTGCTGGAGGTTCAGCTTTAGGCAAAAGAACTCGTCGATTGGCACAAGAAATTGTTTCTTTGAGCAGTTCATTGCCACTTTCTTTCAGTAGCGGTGTTTTTGTTCGAACTTGTGAAGAAAGATTGGATGCTATGAAGGTTTTTTTCTTGTAAAAATTAAAACAAAAAATCTTTTTCAGGTTTTAATAACGGGTCCATCAGATACTCCTTATGCAAATGGATGTTTTGAATTTGATGTTTTCTTCCCTCCAGATTATCCAAATGTTCCAATGCAAATGAATTTGGAGACAACAGGGAATCGGACAGTTCGATTTAGTTGGTTTTTTTATTTAAATTTTTGTTTTTAAATTTTTGGGAAAATTTGATACTTTTCCCTTATCCCTACGGATTTTCTTCGAACTCTTTTTGTTGTCTTCCTTAAGATGTAAAAATGGTAAGATTTCTTTCTCATGTAAGGAAGAGAAAGATCCAGCTGGCTAGCATTTAAAACTTTCACTAGGCACGGGTTTAGGATCTAATAAAAGAGAAGGTGAAGCAGCGTCCCGGTAGCTCAGTTGGTAGAGCACCTGTACGTGGTGAGCGAAAGCGCCTATAGCAATAACTGCCAGGAGGTCGCAGGATCTAAGCCTGTCTGCCCGGGATTTCACTCGATTTTTCTGTCGTCGCTTGTCTAATAGAGGCTTCGATTCTGCGACCTCCTGGCATTTATTGCTAGGCGCTTTCGCTCACCACGTACAGGTGCTTCAATAATTTCTCTTCCCTTTTCTCTATCATTAATTGTTTGAAGAAAAAATAAGGGTACACCCCAACGTACCGTAGAGCTATAACTTCGTTCAAAATAGTCTGGTCACATCCGGGACACCCTGATATGGTTATATTCAGCTCGTCGAGATGCATCGAACCATAACCAAGGCGTCCCGGATTCGACTATTTTGAACTAAGTTCTCTGCGGTACGTTGGGATCAGGGATGGGACGGGTTGAAAAAAAAGTCGGGTCGGGTTTTCAAAATTTTCTTCGGATCGGGTTTCGGGTCGAAAAAAAGTCCGGGTTTCGGGTCTCGGGTCGGGTTTCGGGTCGGGTCAGTTAAAAATTTGAACATGAAGCCAAATTTTTCAGAAAGGCTGGGGATATTAGTGATTTATGGGATTAATAAGCTAATGTTTAAGAGTGATATAATAAGAGACAGGGATTAAATGGATTTGGATGGATTAAGAGTAATATCAGGGGATTTGGGGATTAAAAGGGATATAAAGGCATTTAAAAGTATCTGGTGAAGATGTTTAATCCACTGATTTATACCTTATACCTCCGAGACCCTCTGCAAACACCTTGAAATCCCAGATACACCTCTAAAACCTCCGATATCTCCCCGAATCCACCTCAATCCAAATAAATCCCCCGATATCACCCTTCATCCACTTTGCTCCTTCGACATCTCGGCAAAATTACTCTTTATTTCGTTACAGTTTTCTTCCTTTTTAGCGCCGCAGGCGAAAATTTTGCAAATTTCGGAAGGCCGTGAGACCAGAATTCTTCTTTTTATGGTAAAAATCCCAACGGAAAACGTCCCCCTCGATATCACGCACACACTTTTTAATTTTCGATTTTTTTCTATCTTCCCCCAGAAGATACCTCCTTCCACCGAAGATACCTCTCACAGATACCTCCACAAACCATCTTGATCCTTAAAAATTCTGTCCAAATTCGGCAACATTTCTTAGCGCCGCAGGCGAAAATTTTGAGAATTTTGGAACACCAGTCCACTAGATTTCTTCATTTTCCAGCGCCGCAGGCGAAAATTTTGATTATTTTGGAAGGCCAAAGAGCCAAAAATCTTCCCTTTTTGTAATAAAATTCCAAGGAAAATGTCGGGTTTCGGGTCGGGTTTTCGAAAATTTCTCGGGTCGGGTTTCGGGTCGAAAAAAAGTCCGGGTTTCGGGTATCGGGTTTCGGGTAACCCGTCCCATCCCTGGTTGGGATCGCGGTACATTGGCCTGCTCCCGAAAATGAATGTTGCCTTTTTTTTCTCCCCAAAAGGAAGAAAAAATGTCCGCAAAAATCCGTAAGGATAACAGAAATGTACCGAAAAAAATTTTTTCTCTTTAAAGATCCAAATCTTTACGATGATGGAAAAGTTTGTCTATCAATTTTGAATACTTGGCGTGGCCGGCCAGAAGAACGTTGGAATGCTGACACTTCCTCTCTTTTGCAAGTACTTGTCTCCATTCAATCTTTAATTCTTGTTAATGAACCGGTTGGGGTTTTTTTGTTTTTATTGAACTAAAATTTGAATTTTTAAGTATTTCAATGAACCTGGTTATGAAAGATGGCGAAATTCCCCTGCTGGTCAACAGGCATCGCGGGAATATGATGCTAATATTATGCAAATGTGTGTTAGATGGGCAATGGCTGAACAAATTCGGGTAATTTTTTTTTTAATTAAAAAATTTTTTTTATTATATTCTAACCCTTTTTTAAAAGCGGTTAGTCGGCGTTTTGGGCTCCAAGGGTGGAAAAACCCTCTTTTGGGGTGAGCCGAATCCACCAATTAATTTATTAAATAAAAGGGAGGAAGAACCGGCGCCCACTTTTGGTCGGTATTAAAAAACGGGAGCTTAAATAGGCGGCCGGTTCTCGCTCGTCTTTTATTGGCCATTAAGAATGGAGAAGGTTAATAATAATAATTCATGTAAGGGTTAAAGGTGTAATCCTTTAGAAACTATTGAAAACCCCGTCTAGGTAGAAGGTGCTTATAAGCTAAAGGAAAATAAGGTTCATTCCAACTTAGTTCTCTATCAATCAATGGCCTAGTGTTCGGTCGGCCTAGAGCCTGACCAAGTGGTATACCAACCAACAATCATTGGCTCTTGTCCAGTTTAAGCGTCAATCGCACTTTTATACGATCAAACAACCTTTATAAGTCCAATGAAAAGTTTATGCGTCCAATCAACTTTTATGCGTCCAATCACATTTTTTAAGTACCCAGATCTACACTAAATTACCGTTAATCTATGGAAATAGAAAGCTCTACTTACCCAGAGTTATAATTCACACGCATAGAACCGGGTACACACATAGAACCGGTACTTAAAAAATGTGATTGGACGTATAAAGGTGCGATTGGACGTATAAAGGTGCGATTGGATGCTTAAACTGGACAAGAGCCCAATCATTCACCCCAACTCGCTAGCGCTACCTTCTGGCAATTCTATTCACCACACGCATCACCATCAACATCTTCTCTCTTAACTAGGGCGGGCCCTCTAATTAAATAATTTACTTTCATAATTATAATAATTTTTTAGAATCCTCCAAAAGCCTTTGCAGAAATTGTCAAATCTCATTTTTGGATGAAACGAGATGAAATTTGTGTTCAAGTGGAAGCTTGGATTGAAGATATTCAACATTATATAACAACACATGCGAGTAGTGGAAAAGTTTTGCCTAATTATTTGGCTGGACTTAAAGTATTTATTCTTTTTTTAAATTTTTTAAATTAAATTTAGAAACATTATGAAACTTTAAAAATGGAATTTAAAAAGATGACAGCTCCTCCAGGTTTGGAAAATTGTAAATCGAAACGATTTGATATTGAGAATGAGGGAGGGGAGCTTAAATAAATAAATTGGGGGGTTTTTTGGAGTGAATAAAAAATAAAAAAAATAATTTTTTTAAATAAAATTTGTGTTTTATCAAATTGACTTTTTATAAATAATTTTTTTGTCGATAAATTATAATTTAAAAAATGATTTTGAATTAGTAATTGTTTAAGGTTTTTTATTTCGTTAATGTTTAAATTGGGTACAGCCCATAAAGACGCAGGCCGAAAACGACGCAGACCCAAAAAAGGCGCAAAATTCTAATATACCTAATTTTAATTTCTCAAGAAACACAAAACTTCTTGCGTGTTTTCGGCCTTAGTGTGACTTTATATATATTGGGGGACAGGAGTAACTCGTATTAATTAATTTTCGGCCCTATCTGAAATTAATGCCGCCATCCAATTTTTCCTTTCCTCATCTAATGGGGGAGAAAAAGTTAATTTTTCGGCTGTAGTATAGTAATTTTGTCTAAACTTATCAAATCATGGTGATTTTGGTGTCATTTGACTCAGCTCGAGTAGCTCTTAAGAATGAGTTATCATTCAAAAAATTGAATTTTTCACCCCAATTTTGGCTTACTCCCCCCATAGTTTTTCGATTTTCGGAGACCTATAGGCAGCTCCGGAAAAAAGAGTGTTACCGTCGACTTAGCTCGTCGAGACGAATCGAATGTATGATTCTACCTTACCATCGGTATAGTATACTACAGCCGAAAAATTAACATTTTTCTCCCCCATTCGAGGAGGAAAGGAAAAATTGGATGGCGGCATTAATTTCAGATAGGGCCTAATTTTCAATATTTGTTTAATTTAGTAAAATAACATTTTTTATTTAAAGATATTTGGATGAACTAGTACATATTAAAATATTTTTTAAAAATTAAATATCAATTTTCTTCATTTTTTTTTTTTTATTTCTTACCCCATCCCCACCAACGTCTTCTCCAGCCCCAACCATAACCACCATATCCATAACCTCCCCACCCACCCCAACAACATCCATATCCATAGCCACCCCATCCATAGCCCCAACGCCTTTTTCGTTCTCTGAAATATTGTTTATAATGAGCAGACTTCCTCAAACTTAATAAAAATTTTGTTTGGGAAAATTAATAGTAAAATATGTATAATAAACAAGAATCCTTCTTGAAATATGGGACCCTGTTCGAGCAGACTAAAGCGCTTTAGCTCTACTAATAGAAAAACCTTACATATTTTTTTCTTCTCCATCATTTGTAAAAGATTCTAATTTTTTAGAATCTTTAGATGGATCTTCAACTCCTTCTAAAATGTCTGCCTTGCTGTAATAAACAGAACAAATTAACAAAAATATAAATAAATTAATTAAAATATAATTTTTAAACATTTTTCTAAAATTTATTTAATTTAAAATTTTCTCCCATCCTGAAAGTGAACTAAAAAGGGTAACGAAATTTTATCTGGGAATCATTCTGAATTTGTCTAGAGAGTTTATGGGAGGCCTTAAGGTCTCACTTGAAAGGTGTAAATTATCGCAAAAATAAAGTGCATTCCATTCATTTAAAAATTTTTAATTTTTGGCATGTTAACAATCCGGGACGGACATATCCCCTGATATTGCCTTACTGACTTTGGGGACCTACTAAGCTTACGGCTACACAGCAGATTAAAATAGGCAAAGGCTGTTACAGCCTTTCATCGCGGTACTTGTGGCTTAGTTGGTTAGTGTGTACAGTTTAAAGCGAAATCAAAAGAATTATGAGTGAGGTTCGAATCCCTTTTGGTGGGTCTTGGATATATGTACATTTCTTATTGAAAAAAAAGTGAACCGAAGTAAATACACCTTTTTATTTTACCTAAATTTTAAAGTTTAAATAAATTTACTTTCTTTCAAATAAAAATAAATATTTACCTAAATTCTCTTTTTTAACACTATTTATATATTAATTTATTTGGTTAAAAATCTCTCAATTAATTTAACAAAAAAATTATTTATTATTTACTAAATTAATTTAAAAGTTGTCTAAATTTTGATTTAAAATTTAAAAAATTAATTTGGCGAATTTATTTATTTTTTAATGTCTGATCTTTTTTTAATTAATTTGACGAATTTGTACATTGTATTTTCAATAAAATTGAAGTTCTTATTTTAAAAATTGTGTTAAAATAATTAAATATTTGATAGACTACCAGTCAAGAAAAGACAAAACTCAAAACGGTTTTATTTAAAAAATTGAAAAGAAAAATTATTCATCCCACGCAAGTTCACAACAGAGATCAGGCAGGAAGAGAATTGTGTAAAAAAGAATCAGACGAGATTTCGAAAAATTTCGATTATCGAGATTTTAGAGAGAGGGAATAGAGAGATGGGAGTAGAGAGCGACCCATAATTAAGGTATGTATAAAAGGTGTATTTACTAGTAATGTTCGGGAGAAGAAAAAACGGATATAGTTTAGTCGAGGGCCCGCTCCAAACCGGGACGAAAAATATGTCATTCGATTCGTCTCGGCGAGCTGAGTCGAATGGTACCACTCCCTAAGTGCGGAAATGCCTGTGGACCGAGATATAGGTCCCTGAATTTTGAAAAACCATAGGGGGGAGCAAGCTGAATTTTGGGGTGAAAAATTCGATTTTTTGTATGATAGCTCATTCGAAAGAGCTCGTCGAGCCTTTCTTATCCATGTACCTTTTTTTATCCATGTACTGACGAAATAGTAAATCTTAAACAATTCCTAATTCAAAATCATTTTTTTAATTATAATTTATCGACAAAAAAATATTTATAAAAGGAGTCAATTTGATAAAACACAAATTTTATTTAAAAAAACATTTTTTATTCACTCCAAAAAACCCCCCAAAATTTATTTATTTAAGCTCCCCTCCCTCATTCTCAATATCAAATCGTTTCGATTTACAATTTTCCAAACCTGGAGGAGCTGTCATCTTTTTAAATTCCATTTTTAAAGTTTCATAATGTTTCTAAATTTAATTTTAAAAAATTTTAAAAATAAAATGTTTAAAAAAATACTTTAAGTCCAGCCAAATAATTAGGCAAAACTTTTCCACTACTCGCATGTGTTGTTATATAATGTTGAATATCTTCAATCCAAGCTTCCACTTGAACACAAATTTCATCACGTTTCATCCAAAAATGAGATTTGACAATTTCTGCAAAGGCTTTTGGAGGATTCTAAAAAATTATTATAATTATGAAAGTAAATTATTTAATTAGAGGGGCCCGCCCTAGTTAAGAGAGAAGATGTTGATGGTGATGCGTGTGGTGAATAGAATTGCCAGAGGTAAGGGGTGAATGATTGTTGGTTGGTATACCACTTGGTCACGGTAGGGGTCAGTTGAGCGTGGCCGGTTGAGCGTCAGCCGGCATTTGAACGGCTATAACTTTTTTAGCCTTGATCCAATACGAATGAATCATATATCATTCGAAAGTCCTCGATGAGTCCAATCTTTATCCCAACTGGATGGATCAAGTCTGATCGCCCATTAAAAAGTTACAAGTCGATAAGTGCAGAAAATCGTTGTTTTTCACTTATCGACTAGTAACTTTTTAAATAGCGATCAGTCATGATCCATCCAATTGAAACAAATATAGCGCTTAACGAGGGCTTTCGAATGATATATAATTCATTAGTATTGAATCAAGCGAAAAAAAGTTATAGCCGATCAAATTTGGCTGACGCTCAACCGGCCACGCTCAACTGGCCCGTTCCGTTTGGTCAGGCTCTAGGCCGGCCGAACACTAGGCCATTGATTGGTAGAGAACTAAGTTGGAATGAACATCAACTAAGCCGCTTTCCCTTATTTTCCTTTAGCTTATAAGCACCTTCTACCTAGGCGGGGTTTTCAATAGTTTCTAAATGATTACACCTTTAACCCTTAAATGAATAATTATTATTTACCTTCTCCATTCTTAATGGCCAATAAAAGGCGAGCGAGAACCGGCCACCTAAGTAAGCTCCCGTTTTTTAATACCGACAAAAAGTGGGCGCCGGTTCTCCCTCCCTTTTATTTTAATAAATTAATTGGTGGATTCGGCTCGCCCCAAAAGGGGGTTTTTTCAAACCTTGGAGCCCAAAACGCCGACTAACCGCTTTTAAAAAAGGGTTAGGAAATAATACAAAAATTTTTTAACTTAAAAAAATACCCGAATTTGTTCAACCATTGCCCATCTAACACACATTTGCATAATATTAGCATCATATTCCCGCGATGCCTGTTGGCCAGCAGGGGAATTTCGCCATCTTTCATAACCAGGTTCATTGAAATACTTAAAAACTCAAATTTTTAGTTAAATAAAAATAAAAAAAATTAACCGGTTCATTAACAAGAATTAAAGATTGAATGGAGACAAGTACTTGCAAAAGAGAGGAAGTGTCAGCATTCCAACGTTCTTCTGGCCGACCACGCCAAGTATTCAAAATTGATAGACAAACATTTCCGTCATCGTAAAGATTTGGATCTTTAAAGAAAAAAAATTTAAATTTCAGTACATTTCCGTTATCCTTACGGATTTTTGTGGACATTTTTTTCCCTTTTGCGGAGAAAAAAGGCAAGAAATGATTGAACGAATGATCTCTATTGGACAAGCGACGACAGAAAAATTGAGTGAAATCCCGGGCAGGCAGGCTTAGATCCTGCGACCTCCTGGCTTTCGCTCATCACGTGCAGGTGCTCTACCAACTGAGCTACCGGGACGCTGCTTCACCTTCTCTTTTATTGGATCCTAAACCCGTGCCTAGTGAGCGTTTTAAATGCTAGCCAGCTGGATCTCTCACTTCCTTACATGAGGAAGAAGTCTTACCATTTTTACATCTTAAGGAAGACAACATCTGCAAAAAGAGTTCGAAAAAAATCCGTAGGGATAAAACGGAAAAGTATCAAATTTTCCCAAAAATTCAACAAAAAAATTAAAAGAAAAAAACAAACTAAATCGAACTGTTCGATTCCCCGTTGTCTCCAAATTCATTTGCATTGGAACATTTGGATAATCTGGAGGGAAGAAAACATCAAATTCAAAACATCCATTTGCATAAGGAGTATCTGATGGACCCGTTATTAAAACCTGAAAAAGATTTTTTGTTTTAATTTTTACAAGAAAAAAACCTTCATAGCATCCAATCTTTCTTCACAAGTTCGAACAAAAACACCGCTACTAAATGAAAGAGGCAATGAACTGCTCAAAGAAACAATTTCTTGTGCTAATCGACGAGTTCTTTTGCCTAAAGCTGAACCTCCAGCACTAGCCATTGAATTTAAAGATGTTGCATAATGGAAAGGAATACACATAACTGGAGTTGTGTTGTTGTTGTTGTTACCCATAGGTTCGTAGAAAGGAATCGTTTCTTTAAAAAATTAAAAATTAAATTAATGGGTGGAGAGAGACTTCTCTAACCTATCCCAAATACCTCCCATTTTTGTATAAAATTTTCAAATTTCAAGGGAATTGTTCAAAATTCAGAAAATTATCCCTATGGTGCATATAAATGGGAGGTCTATATAAAGGGTAAAACTCACAATCAGCAAAAACAAACATGGACGGACATACATAATATTGGGTACACCCTCGACAAGGGCGTAGCCAGGAGGTCGATTTCGGGGGGGGGGGGGGGAGGGGGGGGCTTTAGCCCCAGAAACTACCCTGACTACGCCCTAAACCCCCGATACCCATAATATTTTGAAAAATTACTCAAAATTCGTTACATGAAAAATAAGGTCATTTTTGAATGCTTAACACGAATGTCTAATAAATATTTTTATAAAAATTTAAAAAAAAACCCTTAACCAAATTGCAATCCTCTAAGTTTATCGCAATAGAAACGTTCAACAGCATCAGACACTTTAGGCAAAGCATTCGACGAAGAAGCAACATTTTGATCAAGTTGAATATTATCGCTAATCATTACTTCCTCATTATTTTGTTCCTCTTCGGCCTCCTCAAAGTCCATTTCGATACAAGAATGAATTCGTTTCTCTTAAAAATAAATTTAAAAAAAAAATAAAATTTCTAAAAGAAAATACTTTTATTAATAGCAGAACAAACACTGTGAACCAAATCTAAAAGTTTTCCAAGTTCTTCCTCTTCTTCCAAATCGGCCTGACTTTTTGAAGAATTTATAGCTGTTGTTTTTCGACTAAAAAAATTTTATAAAGATTTTTAAAATATATATGTCGCAGTCCAATTTCATTTCTTATCCAAATTCAATTCGGCAGGCCAATTGGGGACTGAAACCCCAAAATTTAGATTTATCTTTGTGTTCAAAGTTTGGGTTCCGTAATAGTTCTTCATGTTCGGGACCTACACACTGTGTCTGGGACCGTTCCTACCCTATCCCTCAAAATTTCTGAGTTATCGCCAATTTTTAAAAATTTCAGAAAAACGATTATAATTTTCAGAAATTTCGAAGAATAGGGTAAGGAATGGTCCCAGATCAAGCGGGCGTACAAGAAATGAAATTGGACTGCGACATTATAAATTTTCTTACAAAGCTTTTCTTTTGGCATTTCGTTGCCAAAGACTTTCCCCTGTTGCTGTATTTGTTGTACGATGTCCAGTTTGTAGTTTACTCAAATAAATTTCAATATTTTTACCCAATTTATTTAAACGATCAAGCAATTCAGATTCAGCAACAGTTATTTGTTGTAATTTCTTTTTATGGCCAATTTGTTTTTGAATTTGTTTTTCTCCGCTCAAAAAAATAATATCAAAAATATCTTGATTTCCTTGTTGATCAAAAATGGCAGCATTTGGAAATTTGAATAAATTATTGATTGGGATTGGCAAAGCATTAGCGATTGTATCAACCAACAAAATAACAGCCTCAACGACATGTACACGTTTTGAAATGTCCAAAACTGAAAAATTTTTTTGTTTTTTTTTTTCTAAATAATTTTGCGATTTATAATTGAACCTCACCAATAAGACTAGAGACCGGACCATGAAAATACGAGTATCAAGATAGATACCTCGAAATATATTGATCTTGATAATCGAGAAATTTGTTCGAGATCTCGTTTCGATTTTTAAATTGGCCTCTTGGGTCCTTGAGCTTAAAACATTGCGTCTTACATGGAAATTTATTTTAGAATATGAAAGAGTCCACCCAAAATAAGGTGTATTTAACTTAAAAATAAGGTTCAACTATATTAAAAAAAATAAATTCTCGCAAAACAAGAATTTTAAAAAATCTTTCAAAATTACCAGAATCATTCATCAAATAAGAATTGAGCGTAGAAAAGAGACAGGAGCGGAAAAGAAGTTCAACAAACTCTTCAGAAAGCTTAATACTCGGAATATCCAATTCTTTCCCCTTCTCCTCTTCATTCCTATCAGTCCTTTTATTTGTCTTTTCATCTTCCTTTGAAGTTGTTAATTCCTCTATTGGCAAAACTAATTCCATTCCATCTCCAGAATTTGTTGTTTCTTGTTTCTCTTCTTCCTTTTTATTTGAAAATGTTGATTGATTTTCTTGTAATCGTTGTGATTGAGGACTAATAAAGGCGATAAGAATCTTGAAAAAAATATTTGTTTAATTTCAGATTCTAAACAAAAATTCATACATGTAACAATGCTGCAACATTATTTTCATCTTGCCTTCTTTTTGCAACATGTTGACTAAGACTCCATTGCTGTTGAGTAGTTCCACTACCAAAACCTGTTCCTTTTGCCCAATAATTTCCATCATTTTGGGTTTGTGTTGTTGCAGTAGTGGTTGTCTGTTGAGGTATAGAAGTTGGAGGTGTTGCTGGAGTGAGAGCACTTGTTTGCGTCGGCGTTGTTTTGGTGGGTGGAATATTTGAAGGTCCTCCTCCTTCAGTAGTTGGTGTTTTTACAACTGGAGTTTTGCCTGTTTCAGTTGGCCCAGACAATTCAAAATCATCGCCCAAGGTGATAACAACTGGCGTTTTTTTATCCTCAGCTGTGGCTAACGAAGTACTAGATTGTGTTATTGATACTGGGACATGAGATTTCGTTGTTGTCGAATCTATTGTTGCTGAAGATAACGTTGTTGTAAGTGATGGACTTTCAATATAATCAGTTTGTCCACAACCAACAACTCCACTGACACCAATTAATTGTAAACCCATTGTCTGTTGTTGTAATGTCCCAGAAAGCTGGAATGAACGTTCCGTACGCAAAGTAGCGTTCAAAACATAACTTAATAATTCAACCTTTTAAAAATATTTAAGATTCTTTTTCAAATATAAAAAATAAACCATTGGTTGTTCTTCAGCAATAGCAGGATGTAAAGGCTCCAAACGATTTGGTTGTCTAGAAAGATGAGCCAAACTTGTCAACAAAACATCAACAATTCCCATTTTTAAAGCTTTATCACGAATTGCTTGAGCACGTTCAATACCAACATCAGCAGGATCAAAAGTGTTGAAAAGACGAGCAAGTACAACAAAAGGGAATAAAAGAAGCTCTTCTTGATGAGCTTTGAAAAAAATTTTTTTTTGAATTATTAGAAAAAAAAACCTTGTTGTTCATGAGAAACATAACGACCCAAACGTTGTGATGAAGATTTAATATTTGTATTATAGGAAGCAGGAAGAGATGTTGGTAATAAATTTGTTGAAGAAGTTGGTGGCTTTTGAGTGTAATAATGGTAATTGTAGTATGAAGGGTTGATATTCTTTTGTTGTTGTTGTAATAGATTTTTGGGAGTTACAGAGGTTGATTTAACATTACTACGAATTTTTGAGTCACCACCTGTACGAGGACGCAAAAAGGCAACTCTAGAACTTGAAGCTAAAATGAACAAAAATTGGATTATTTTTTAATAAATTGGCCTATAATCGACTATTCACTTCACATAAACTCAATTTATGGTCGATATTTAATGGTTTATTGAATGTCCGCAAATTTCAGTCCGCAACTACCGATTACCAAAACATTATAAATCTGGCCTTTGGAACCCCGAAAATTTTTAAAACCCCCAAAACCGAAACGGAGAAGCAACCCAACAAATCATCAGGGTTTTCGGTTTGATTCCGAACCGGCAATTCTAACGATTTAAAAAAATAAATTTGAAACTTTACACGTAATCCATGAATGTATGTCCAAAATCATTCGAAGTAATTGTTTTGTCTTTTCACGATCCATTTCAATAAGTAATTCTCCATATTGTTCTAAACGAAGAAATAGTCCAAGTAAAACAATAACATGAGCAGAATTATGGAAAAATTGATCAATTGGCATTGATGGTGGACGAGTATAGGTCTAACAATGGAAAATTTTTTTTTAATTTAAAGTAAATGAAATTAAGTTTTACATTTTTTCCACTATTAATATTTCCAGAAACATATGAAGTACCAAAAGTATTCCATCCAACACCTAAATTAGTTCCCAATCCAACAGGTTGAAGAGGAGGCCATTCATTATATGTGTTAAATAATTGAGTCATTGGAATATTAGAAATAAAACCAGGTGGTTGTGTTTGAGGAAATGGTAACTAAAAATATAAAAAAATAATTTTTGAAATAAGAGTTAGGGTTTACAAGTTGGAGAGGAGCTAAAGAGAGATCCACTGCAGATGATCTATCCACATCAGATCATCATCCACTGCAGATCCATCGACAAAGATCCAGAGATCCCATTGCCACTTACATATAAGTGGCAGTGGGGACCTATGGAGTGTTCTTACGCCATACCTTATATTCTAGAGATCCCGGTCAAGTGAGAAGAGAGAGAAAGGTCCATTCACAGAGATCCAATAGGTGCCAGCTGGCGGCACCTATTGATTGTGAGCCGAGGGGTTGAAAGCGGAGAAATAATGGTGACGCCGCCCAAACTACAATAGAGGTGAGTGAAGACTTTTCTAATAATGCAGAGTTTTTTTATTTAAAGTAAATAAAATTAAGTTTTACCATCTTTCCACTATTAATATTTCCAGAAACATTTGAAGTACCAAAAGTATTCCATCCTCCGCCTAAATTATTTCCCAATCCAACAGGTTGAAGAGGAGGCCATTCATTATTATTGTTAAATAATGGTGTCATTGGAATATTAGGAATAGCATTTGAATACATACCAGGGGTGTGCCGAAACAAAATTTAAAAGGCGAAAGACGAAAGGCGAAAAGGCGAAAGTCATTTTAAAAAGCGAAACACGAAAGACGAAAGTCATTTTAAAAAGCGAAACACGAAAGGCGAAAGACGAAACAGCAAAAAAGACGAAAATATGGCGAAAGACGAAAGGCGAAAGACGAAACATTTTATTCGTAACAGAAATTATAAATTTTTAAATTATGGTGTAAAAATAGCAATTTCTCAATATTTTCGGGAAGTAATCGTTTTCTTAAATTGCTAACAATTTGGCCTGCCGTTGAAAACAAACGTTCGCTCTCACTCGATGTTGCTGGCGCAGAAAAATATTTATTTGCTAGAGTTGCAAGTAGTGGCCACTTTATTGCGTTTTCGCCTTAAAACGTCAGATTAAATATTAAAAAATCAAAATATATAATACCTGTCCAATAAATAAAAGGATCACTTCCAACTGACAATTTTGTTGCATGCAGATATTCAACTACCTCAACTTCAGCTTTCTGACGGGCATTAAGCTCAGAGGGTGATGGCAAAGGAGAATCAATAATTAATTCGGTTCGAATCTTAAAATTATGGATTTATACCAATATCATAAACTTTAAACCTCTTTTTCATATTCATCAAAAATATCGTTAATCGACTCTTCCAATTGTACTGGTTGAACTGACTCTCCTGAACGACGTGCCTAAAATTCAAATATATATTCTTATATCATTCAAAAATAAAACCTCAAGTTGGACTAATTTTTCTGCTTCAGCAATTAACCAAATTTTATATTCCTCTATTCTATTTGCCTCCAAATAAACAAGCTTAAAGCGTGGGTCTAGAATCGTGGCAATTATAAGGTCTCTGTTATCTGCCCACGCGGAACGCTTTACTTTCCCCATTGAATCAAGTTTTTCAGCCATTCTAGATTTAAGACCATTGATAATGGCTTCCGTTATTGTTTGATACCCGCCTTTTTCTTTTTCTAATGCTCGAACAATACAAGAAAGAAATTTAGGAAAGAAAAAAAAAAATAATACAAGAAAGAAATTTACAAGAAATTTAGGACGAAAATTCTCCAGAAAATGAGCTGTCAGTCCTACCAACGAATGTGCACTATCCCTTGATGACCATACGTCAAAGGTGAATGAGATGGCATCGGCTTTTTCAAGATCCTTTTGAACACGACACTTAAATAAATCTTTGATTTATCATTAAATTGAGGAATACATACTTTAACTTTATTGTAAATCCTTGGCATGAGATTCTCTGTAAAATATTTTCTCCCATGAAAAAATTCAAATTTAGGCTGCAGAATACGGACAAGCCTTTGAAATCCAATATCATCAATTATTGAAAAAGGCTAAATAATATATTGACACAATTAAAACTCAAAACCTGAATATCTACTGCAATCATTTCCATTATTGCCTTATTAACTTCAATTGTTTTTTCACCATCTTTAGACCATTGACCTAAAAAATATAGACAAAATTTCTAAGAATTTTTTTTACTTTTTGCTTCCAATGCAACTTCAATCCTAGGTTGCTTAGTAGGTCGATCCTTATCAAAAGAATCTTTACTCGTTGATTGACTTCGTAATGCCTCTTCAATACGAACTTGTGCCCTTTTTTCATTAGAAATAACTTTATTGTTCATTTCTGAATACTGCGAATAAAGTTGTGGGTGTTTCGTTTTTAAATGATAAATCAATGGTGTTGTTGGAGCTTTAGGTAGAAAATCTCTACTATAGTTGCAATTTTCATCAGAACAAAAAGCAACATTTGCTGTTTTTTTAAAATAATTCCAAATTTTTGACATAATTGAAATCTTAAAAATGTGAATTAAAAATATTTAATGGAAATCTGAAAAATGTGAATTAAAAATATTTAATGGCTCTTTTCTCTTATTTCTTTGCTTTTCTCTCTTTTTCTTTTCTTTTTTCCTTCACTTTCTTTTTCTTTTCTTCCCACGTTATCACCTTTCCCTCACAAAACTGTCATTAGGGGTGTATAATATTTTCGCCTTTCGCCCGAAAAAGCGAAAGACGAAAGGCGAAAAGGCGAAAGTCAATTTAAAAAGCGAAAGACGAAAGGCGAAAGACGAAAGATCAAAAAAGACGAAAATAAGGCGAAAGACGAAACGGCACACCCCTGATACATACCAGGTGGTTGTGTTTGAGGAAATGGTAACTAAAAAATTATAAAAAAATATTTTTTGAAATAAGAGTTAGGGTTTACAAGTTGAAGAAGAGGATTGTACCAGTGAGATCCTATATGGAAAGCTTTCCTACGCCATACTTTAAATTTTAGAGGTTCAGATCCTGTGAGAAAAGAGAGAGAGGCTGGGGCTGGCGGCAGACCTAGGAGTTAAAAGCAACTTTATCATGAAAAAGTTATTTAATAATCAAGACGTACACCATATAACGGAGGGGGAAGGAGAATGGCTAAATGCCTCCCTTTAAGGCGTCCCTCTTTATAAAATAATTTAAACTCCCTCAAAAAGGATAAGAAAATAAAAAAAAACCTTTTGATCACTCTTCTTGTTCGAATCAGTTGAAACCGTAGTAGGAAGATCGAAATTCTCCTTTTCCTGTTCATTCAAAACTCGAATGTGGTCTTTGCCACAAAGACAAGAACAAACTGATGGCTCAGTTTCCAATAATCCTGGCAAATGATTCATATTAATAAATGATCCGATGAAGAGAAGGATCTCCCGAATTTGTTAAAAGGGTTAAAAAAATATTTTTACAAACCATTTTTATTCGTTGTGTCATTTCCATCCTTCCAAGCAGTTTGATAAGCGCTAAAATCTCCACAAGCTGATGGAGGTGTATTTACTGGCAGATTTTTAGGCCATTCAGAAGATAATCCGACACTTGAAGAATAAAAAAAATTTTCAAATTTAAAAAAGTAAAAAAAACCTTGGAAAAATATTTTTGTGAGGATTTTTGGCATTATTAGAGCCTTGGCCATTATCATTGTCATCAATAGAAAACATATCCATCCCATCCATTTCATCCTAAAACAACAAAAAAAAATAAAAATTTTAAAATTTACAATTACAGAGTCAGAAGGAATTGAAGCTGTTGAGCAAAAAGTTAACGGATTTTTATTATTTTCCGAAAAATTTTCCAATGTATTAGCGACCGATGATGCTTGATTTTCCACCTAAATAAATGTGGATTAAAATAAATTTTACCAAAAATATTGGAGAATGAAGAAAATAATTAAAATTACCAAAACTAATACGACTGGGGGCTTAATTCGAGTTGCACTAACATAAAACCACGTTCCCGAGGTAGTGCGAAACTTGCGGACCGACTTTTGCGGACAATAGGTCTAGGTTTTTGTTTTTCTATCGTAACTTTGTCCAAGCTTGTACAATCACGATGATTTTGATGTCATTCGACTCAGCTCGTCAGTTCTTTCGAATGAGCTATGTTTTGAGAAATTCGTCGAGTCCGCAAGTTTCGGTCCGCAAAAGTCGGTTCGCAAGTTTCGGCCTGCCGTTCCCGAACAATTTTCTCACAAATTACCTCAATTCGAACCAAACTCCAAAAACAACTTGAAACCCATGTACCCCGACAAAATAGAAGTGTAACACTATTCAAGAGCGCAGCCAGAAGGTGGGGGTTGCAAATTTAGAATCCCCCCCCCCTTGAAATGGAAAAGTGAAAAAATTTTAAGAGAAAAATTATCAGAAAAGTAAATTTTTTACGCATTCAACCCACAGAATTCTGAATATTTTCGCTTGCGGCGAAGCAAAATAAAAATATGTATACAAAAAATTGCGTTCGCACACCCCATTTTAGCCCCCTAAAACCTTGACACTATTTTAAAGTACAAAATAAAAATTTTCAAAAAAAAAATTTCCAAACCATTTGACTACAAAGTTTAGATTGTTCAAGAGCTAATTTTGTCTGTTCAATTGCAAATTTCGAATCCTCAATTAAATCACTAATCAAATTAGAATTGCCAAAATCATAAATTGGAGTATTTGTCCATTGCTGGAAAGTGTTTGCTGAGGGAGTTGTTTTCCAAAGATCTAAAAATAAATAAAGAATATAAAACACAAATAAAATAACCTTGATCTACAGAAAAATTTCCGCCAGTAAAACTTGGAGGAGGAATATAAGGAGAACCTGAGAAAACAATAATTTTTCATAGAAAATGAAAAAAAATACCCGGAGCAGCAAACCAAGACGAATTCTTAAAAAAAAGAAAATTTAATAAGTTTTACAATTTTAAGCCATCGAAAAAACCTGTTGCTTGTCTTCAGTATAAATTTCATCAAATGAAGGCTTCGGTGAAGCATAAACAAGTTTTGGGTGTTGGGAAGTAAAAGATGTTGAACCTTTTGACGCTTTATGTTTGCTAAGACATCCCTTCTTCAAATTCGATTGTTGTTGATCTAAATGTGTTGTAGAAGGAGGTTGAAGAACTCCAGAGACTGCCGAAGAGACTTTTACAGGAAAATCAAACATTGTCTAAAATTGAAAAAAATAGGTCAAAATCACATTCAAAACCTCATCAAAAATAAATCCAGAAGGTCCATATTCTCTCGACAATTTGCTGTGTAAACTGTTTGTCCATTGTTTAGACCAACTTCGACAAATAAGTGTCAATATTTCAACGCATTTTTGCATCAATTTATCAGCAGAATCTGCCAACTAACAAGAAACCATCGTTTACTGTGACTGCGAATTTGATATATTTTTTGGTACCATCCGATAGAGGACTCTCGATTTACTCTATTGTTGTATGCGGGTTTTCTTGCAAAATTAGTTTGGGCCGAGTTATGGCCGTTCAATGTTAAACCACTAGAGTCTGGAGTTATAGGGAAAATAGGAAATTTCTCTCTTATTTTTCATCCTCAAAAAGCCCAACCACCCCTCTTCTCTTTGTTTATCGTGTTTGACATTTTTCTCCCGTTTTTTCCCTCGTGCCTCTTGCATTCTTTTTTCCTCTTTGTAAGACAATGTGAAGGAGGCAGAGAGAGCTCTTTTCCTTATACTCAACTAATCCCAAGGACCGAAACTTTGAACGGCCATAACTCGGCCCAAACTAATTTTGCAAGAAAACCCGCACAACAATCGTAGTAAATCGAGGGTCCACTATCGAATGGTACCAAAAAATATATCAAATTCGCAGTCACAGTTAACGATGGTTCCTTGTGAAAAAATTTAACAGAAAAAGAGTGATTGTACATACAATCCTACAAACAAATAAAAGAGAAAAATAGGCCCAAATAACCTTAAGTTTTCGTCGCTCAGGGCTCGAACCTGATGAAAAAAAATTCGGACTGAAAAAATAAAAGGGAAAATAGAGAAATGAAAATGGGCCCTTTAAAATTCAAAATTCCAAACAACCTCAACAACACAACCAATTAAAACAAAAAGCCAATGCAGAGAATTAGCAGGTTGAACTTTGAACAAATTTTCCAATAATTTAGTTAATTCAACAAATAAAGTGTTCATGAATTGAAAAGCTTTGTTTAAAGAAAGTCCAGCAGGTGGCCACTGAATTATTTGAATAAAGTCACACAAAAGAATAGTCCATTTATGAGAAATTGTTCGTGAAGACGAGTTGACATAAACATTTTGTAAAATAGAAGGAATTGAGTCTAACAACAAATCAGAGAAGAGATCGATAGCGTTTCTGAAAAGTGTCAAATTTTATATGGAAATTATTGGTAAAACATGGCACGAGTAGATAGTGGTTTCTTTTTGTGGCTTTTCCACTATATATCTATTTTTAGAACCGTTTCAGGTAAATAGAACTTTTTAGGTAAATACTCTTGAGACGTAATTAGGCAATAAACATAAGAGATATGGCGAGAGGCCCTCAACCAACTGCTTGGTCCTTCTAAGGTTTTTAGGTATTCAAGTCAGTAACTCAGTCCCTGATTGCAGGCCAAGATTCCCCTGCTAGTAAAACTCAGGTTCCAAAGATCTTCCGAGTGACATGGCCTCCGGAAACAAAAATGATCCACCTATAACCCACAGTACCCTGAATAGGTAATAAAACCCCAATGTTCCTACCAAAACTTAAAAAGAATTAAAGTGAAGAACCGGTGGAAAGGCTAAACTAATAGTAGTACCCAAAAAATGTATATGTATACCGTGTAAGCTTTTGAAGCTCAGAAGAATGCACATTAGACTTCCATTCCTCTAAGATCCAAATCAAAATATCCAAAGCTTTATGTTGACTGCCAATTCTCTGTCCTTCAGTTACTGGCTTCCCATCATCATCTTTAAGTCCATTTATAGCAATCCGAAGAAGTCCTTTATGAGCTCGCGTTTCAATAGTCAAAATTAAACGTTGAATATGAATCATCATTTTATCTCTAAATTTGATATTAAAGTCAAAACAAACTGCCCAAAAATAGGGGAATGGAAAGAAGGGTAGGAAAGGATTATAGCCGATTCAAGCTACAAAGGATTCAGAATACGTAAATCGGCTCTATCTGCAATGAGGTACGAGATCACATTTTTCCTCCTTCCTTACACTGTCAGTTCTTATTTGAATATGCCACCGGGAAAATTAAGGTGAAGTGAAGACTGATCTTCATATTAAGGAAAAATGGGTACAGCCCATTACGGCGCGGGCCAAAACGGCGCGACCGAAACGGCGCGACCGAAACGACGCAGGCCGAAACGGCGCAAACCCTAAACACTGCACAGTGATAGTGATTAATCGTGTATCATCATTTGATCAACTGTGAGATTTATCAATTGATCTCTATGATCAACCTATTTGTGATCGATCTGACCTTAGTGATCGATCATTAGCCACCATTGCGTACACTGATCCTTCGAATTATTTAAAATCTGCAATAAGGTTTTGCGCATTACGGGAAAATTGTTTCAACACTGTGGAAGATCGTTCAGACGTTGAGAAAAGTTGTTACAACAACAGTGAAGGCTGTTCCGACATCAACGACCAGAATAAAAATAACTAAAGTCTAGATGGTTACAGTAGTAATATGGGGATAACTATATAGTTCTAGGGGAACTAACTAGTAATATATATAGTTCTAGGGGAACTAACTAGTAATATATGTAGTTATAGGGGAAACTAACTAGTAGTATTGGAACTATCTGAATCCCGCAGTTATTTCTCGCAGTTATACTTACTAGTAAGTATACGATCTAAATAGTTTTGTTATCACTCTTAATTTTTGTTATCACTCTGTTATCACAAGGTGTTGTCCAAATGCGACCTTTCATCTGCTATTTTTTGTTCCACCAAAAGATACGATCACCATTCGAGCTAAACCTCACGTAACAATATGTAGCTTATGGGAAATTTTTGCGCCGTTTTGGGCCGTGCGCCGTTTTGGCCTTGCGCCGTTTCGGCCTGCGCCGTTTCGGTCGCGCCGTTTCGGTCGCGCCGTTTTGGCCCGCGCCGTTTCGGGCGTGTCCCAGGAAAAATGGAAGGTAGACTGACTATGTAAGGAAGGAGGAAAAAAATGTGATCCCGCGCCTCCTGGCAGATAGATCCTGTAAATCTTTCAACTTGGAAAAGCTTCTTTCCTTGTTATTTTCTTACGCTCCACATTCTAAAGAAAATTTAAAAATGGAGCAAGCAAAAATGGAGCAATTTTTTTTAAATTTCCTTGACTAGTGTTTGGTAACTTGACTAGTAAACTTGACTAGTGTTTGGTAGTCGGTCCAAAATAATCAAAAAAAACTATTCTACGCCTATCCTCTTTTTGTTTTAATTCCGGAGGCTTAATTTTTAAAGAGAATTTTTTTTTCTAATATTTTTCGGAAAAATTTCTTTTATTTTTTTTAAATTTCCTCCCTCCCCTTCCTTCTTTAATTTTTTAATTTCAATTTATTTCCCTCCTAATCAATAATTCAGATTCAAAATCTGACTTATATGTAAAAATATTAAAAACTAAGAAGAAAGCGCGTCACTTCCACAACGGTGGGCACAAAACGAATTATAGGTAGTTTTATGCTTTTATGCCCTTTTGAGGAAAGGAAAAAAAGGAAAGAGGAGGGGGAGGAACTCAATTATTTTAACTTTTATTTTTTCCAAATTTTCACAAAATAATTTTTTCTCTTTTAAAAAAATAATTTATTTAACAACCTTGTACATAAATTAAAAAATTTTTTACGATTCGGACAGATTTTCTTTCTGTTATCACAAAATCCCTTAAATTTTCGATAATCCAAAGGCAAAAATTAATAAATTAGGCTTGTTCACTACTCATTTTTAATCGGTACCCACGGGTTTCGGTTAATCCAAATTTTAAAAAATCACAGTTGGTCTAAAGCTTAAGATAAATATAGGCTTTTTGGAGGGATTTTTTAATAAATTACGGCTCTAATTTAGTACATGCGTCCAATGGCCTTTTATGCGTCCCATCGGAGAATATACGTCCCACAACTAGTTGAGGGACGCATATATTCTCTGATGGGACGCGTATTCTTCTTGAGGGACGCATATACTTTGCTGGGACGCATAAAAGCCCATGGGACGCATGCCTTAAACTAGAGCCGAAATGATTTATTTTCAAAAAGTTTTGGGTTTAAAACCGATCGTGAACAGTCCTTAATTTTAAAAAATAAAATTTGGTACTTTTCCGTTATGCCACCTCCCCCTAAATTAATGTTCAATAAAAGTGCTGAATCGAATGGTGCCACTCTTTTTTCCACGAAATGTCTGTGGAGGGGCTCAAAATGGTCAAAAAACCATAGGGGGGAGTAAGCTCGTTTTTGGGTGCTCAGCACCTTTTATTACACTATATATGACATTTTGAACATTAAATTAGGGGGAGGGGGCATAACGGAAAAGTACCTAAAATTTAAAAAAATAAAATAAAATTTTAATTTTTTAAAAATAATTTCCATAAAACACCCATTTTTGACTTTCCACCGTTTCATCACAAATATTAAAATAAATATCATCTCCAGAATTTAGCCCTTCAATATCCAAACAAAGACCGCTATTTAAATGTCGTAAAAGTCCTCCCTTTAAATTAAAAAAAATTTTTTTTTCAAAAATTTTTTTAAAAAAAACTTTAAAATGTTCAAATTGTATTAATTGACTTTTTACACAATCCTTTAATACAACTTTTTGTTTTCCTTTCAAATTTTTATTTATTGGATCAATATCCACACAAGTTGTTTCTCGTCTTAATTGCTTGTCTTTACTCCAACTAAAAGCCTTGAAGAAAAAAATTTTTTTTTAAATTATTTTTTTTATTTTTTCAACCAATCCCCTCTCCCCTCCACTTATTTTATTTTTAAAAATTTTATTTTATTCGAACACCATTTTTAAATACCCCCTCCCCCTCTCCCAGAGGTGGGTCGGAAAAGTCAGAGGTGCCGGAAATCGGAACTGTCGGAAATTGGAAATGGCTCAAAAGTCGGAACTTGGAAATCAAAAAATTTTTTTCGGAACTCGGAACTCGGAAATTTTTTTCGGAAATTGGAAGACGGAAATCGGAATTCCGACCCACCTCTGCCCTCTCCCTCATGTCTGAAAAAATTGTACCTAATAGTGAGAAGTATCCTAAATAGAAAACATCTCTTAGACAGCTTTTCTTACCCAATATTATCCTTCTAACCAGAGGTAAATCGGAATTCCGAGTTCCGACTTTATAGCCATTCCCAATTTCCGACAGTTCCGATTTCCGGCAACTTCGTCATTTCCGATTCACCTCTGCTTCCAACCGATCCGAAGAGAAATTTTGAAAACTGACCCAACTTTTTTTTTCTCAACCCGTGACACCCCTACCTTCTAAATTTTTAAAAAAGCGACTCTTAAATTGAGGGGGAGGTTAAAATATATTTTTACATTTTCTATAAAAATAATTCTTAAAAAAATTTTTTTAAGAGAAAAAATGTTTTTTGATATACAGGAAAATGAAATTGACCCAAAAGATTATATTCCAATATTAAATAAATCATCACAACAACCAGTACAAACATCCCCTACACCCTCAACTTCAGAAACAACACAAAATGAGGAAAACAAGTAAAAACAGAAATGTTTTTATTAAAATCAGAATTAATTAAAACTTGGGGGGAAAATAATTAATTCTGATTTTTCCGGAAAGTTTTTAAAAATAATTCTGATTTTCAGGAATTATTAATTTTGTCACTAAAAATCAGAATTATTTACTTGTGTAAAATCAGAATTAATTTAAAATATTCTGGATAAAATCAGAATTATTCAAATTTTCCGGAAAATTAATTCTGATTTTTCCGGAAAGTTATTTTATATAAATTCTGATTTTTCCGGAAAGTTTTTTAAATTCTGATTTTTCCGGAAAGTTTAAAATTCTGATTTTTCCGGAAAGTTATTTTAAATTCTGATTTTTCCGGAAAGTTTAAAATTCTGATTTTTCTTGAAAGTTTAAAATTCTGATTTTTCCGGAAAGTTTTTTAAATTCTGATTTTTCCGGAAAGTTTAAAATTCTGATTTTTCTTGAAAGTTTAAAATTCTGATTTTTCCGGAAAGTTTTTTAAATTCTGATTTTTCCGGAAAGTTTAAAATTCTGATTTTTCTTGAAAGTTTAAAATTCTGATTTTTCCGGAAAGTTATTTTAAATTCTGATTTTTCCGGAAAGTTTAAAATTCTGATTTTTCTTGAAAGTTTAAAATTCTGATTTTTCCGGAAAGTTTTTTAAATTCTGATTTTTCCGGAAAGTTTAAAATTCTGATTTTTCTTGAAAGTTTAAAATTCTGATTTTTCCGGAAAGTTTTTTAAATTCTGATTTTTCCGGAAAGTTTAAAATTCTGATTTTTCTTGAAAGTTTAAAATTCTGATTTTTCCGGAAAGTTATTTTAAATTCTGATTTTTCCGGAAAGTTATTTAAATTAATTCTGATTTTTCCGGAAAAACTTTTTCCCCATTTTTAGTGACATAAACAACAACAACACTTCCAAACAACACAAAAACAACAAAATAAACTTGCCTACAGAATATTCTGATTATTATTATTTTATGGCTTACGAACATTTTGCTTTGTCTAGAGCTACTATTAAAGAAATGTGCATGCCTGGGACAGCCTGTGATGTTCATATTTATTTTTATGTAAATTTTTTAATTTTTTTGCGGACAAAATTTGCGGATATTAAAAAAATTTGTAATTTTTTCGAAAAAATTAGAAATTATTTTTAAAATTCAAAAAAAAATTTTTTTTTAATGTCCGCAAATTTTGTCCGCAAAAAATTTTTGTCCGCAAATTTTGTCCGCAAAAATTTTTTTGTCCGCAAAATTTTTTTTCCGCAAATTTTGTCCGCAAAAAATTTTTGTCCGCAAATTTTGTCCGCAAAAAATTTTTTTTGTCCGCAAATGTTGTCCGCAAAAAAATTTTTTTCAAAAATTATTTTTTTCAGGAAAAATTTACTCAACTTCCCGAAATTGGAATTTCTTGTCTTTCTTTAAACGATTTATGGAGTGAACAGGCAGAAATGCAAGGAGAGGAAACTAGACCAGAAAATTTGTCTTTTATTAAATTAATTAATTACAAAGAAAATACAAGGCATTGGGTGGATATTGAACCTTTACCTTCTCAAATATTGACAATTTCTTTGGATTGTGCTGACAAAAAAGGATTGAAGGTTTTTTTGGAAAATTTTTTGGGGAAAGTTTATTTAAAAATATGTGTCCGCAAATTTTGTCCGCAAAAAATTTTTTTAATTTTAAGGAGAAGGGTGGGTCCAAAAGGGGCTAATAGGCATTAAAATTGTTAGAATTTTAGGAAAAGAATTTCTCTATTAATTTTCTTTTTAAATTATAGTGTAAAAACCTTTCTTGGAAAAATTTTTTTTAAATATGTCCGCAAATTTTTTGTCCGCAAAAATTTTTTTTTTAATTTTAAGGAGAAGGGTTCCAAAAGGGGGCTAATAGGCATTAAAAATTTTTTAGAATTTTAGGAAAAGAACTTTTTTATTTTTAATTTTCTTTTTAAATTGGAGTAAATGTCCGCAAATTTTGTCCGCAATTTTTTTAAATATTTTTTTTTTAAATTGTGAGTTAAGGGTTTTTTTTTATTTTTAAGGGTTTAGGATCAAGCAAAATTATATTCCGGAGTTCCCCGTAAAAAGTATTAAATTTAAAATTTTTTAAATTTTTTTAAAGATTCGTTTTTCAATAATGCAAGAGCCCCCTTCAAATTGGTTTTGGATAAAATATCCAGTTTTGGTTAATGATTTTTCTTTGGTTATTGGAATTGAAAAAAAGGAATTATTGAGGAGATGTATTTTCAAAGGAGAAATTGTTTTTGTTAGTTTTTTTTTAATTTTCGAATTCGGGTTGGGTAATATTGAAGAATTGGGGAAGGCACTTAAAAAATTTTTTTTCTGAAAATCATATAGGTAATCGACAATGCTGATCACGAATCTAATATCTGATTTTGTCAGATATGAAATTTTATCTATGATTTTTTATTTATGATTTTCTCTAGACAAATCAATTATTGACTGGGTAATAAATTGAAATCTAGATTAAGATGTTATCAAATGTCAATAATTGTCCAGTCAATAATTGTTCAAATAACCCAGTCAATAATTGATTTATCTGGAAAAAATCATAGATAAAAAAACAGATAAAAAATCATATGACAAAATCTGATATCAGATTTGTGATCAACATTGTCGATTTTACCTATATGAAATAATTTTCAGAAAAAAATAATAATTTTTAAGTGTTTTTCCAATTCTTCACTATTATTTAGGGTTGTATTCCAAAAAACCTCTTTTTTTCAAAATTCATCCTCCCTCCCAAATAATTTTTCCCAATACCCCTTCCTCATTTTAAACATAGTTGGGGGTTAATCTTATAAAATTTCTACCAAAAAAATTAAAAAAATTTTAGGAAGGTTCTTTACAAATTTTGACAACTTTTGGTTTATTAAATGCATTATATGATCAAGAAAAGAAAAAAAGAGAAGAAAATAATGATGAAAATGAAGAAAATATAATTAAATTTAATTTGGATGAGGAGGAAGAAGAGGGGAAACAAAAAGAAGAATGCATTTTTTGTTTTAGAAAAGGATCGAATATTTTGTTTTATCCTTGTAAGTTTTTTAAGGGATTAAAGAAGGGGAACCGAAAAGAATTTTAATCACCCCCCCCCCCCCCCCCCCCAAACTTCCCAGGAAATTGCTTATCTTCAACCTTGCACAGGGTCGAGGCCCCGCCGATGCCGAGGTCATCACCCATTTGCAATCTCGGATTGACCGGCCTCGGTCCTCGTAAGAACCTCGCCTTTTACTAGGATTGTCCTGCCCCCCGTGGCGCTGCCTCCCCGAAAATTGTTCCCCGTGGTCCTTCCCCGGAGGGGAATAACCCTAACATTTACCCATATATTTTATAGGGGTACTTTTGGAATTGCCAATTCTTACTTAAAGTTTATTTTAAAAGTATTTTTGCGGGCACCCCCTCCCCTTCTTCAATTGCTTTGGAAATTTCTGGATATCCACAACAAACCGAAAAATCCTCGGTTCTTCTGATCAATCCTTCGATTTTGCGAACTGACCAGCTCCAGTACCCAAAATAAGGATTAGAGACCGAGATTTTTGAAAAGCTTGGACCTGTTCCTTGACTATGGGGTTTGATTTATTGATCTGGGCCGGATCCTGGGCCAGTAGTCCAGGAAAAACCCCAAGACCAGGAAAAACCCAGGAAGGTCAAAAAATGCCTGGGCCTGGACTCTGGGTACAGGAAGAACCCAGGCCTTGGTCCAGGCCCAGCTCGATTAGGGAAATGTAAGGGTTGACTTTAATTTTTTTATTTTTTTAAAGGTAATCATTGCAAAGTCCATGAAAAATGTTTAGTTGGAAAGAAAGTAGATAAATGCTATTTTTGTGATACAAAATGTATTAAATTTTTTAAATTAAATTTTAAATTAATTAAAAATTTTTAGGTGAAAAATTAATTAAATTAAAATTTCCCCAACAAATTAACAATAAAAATTCAATGGAATGTTTATTTTGTGAATATGGAAAATGCCAAAAATTTGATTGTTATTATTACCCTTGTGGTAATTAATTTTTTAAAGGAATTTGAAGGGAATGTGGGGAGATCCTGTTAACTATAATTTAGAATACTTACTAGTTGAAGTTGAGGCAAAGCCCCGTTAACTTAATTGGCGTAGAGCACTTGGAAGTGACTGGCAATAAAAGCCGGAAGGTGGCAAGACCGTACCTGTCCAGTAGTGATGTTCGGGAGAAGAAAAAACCCCGGGAAACGAGCCGGGTCGGGAAATGACCTCGGGAGTTGGGAGTCAGGATTCCCGAACATCACTACTGTCCGGGGCTGATTTTTTTATTTTTTCGAGTTTAAAATATTTTCCAAAATAATTCAAGTCGACATGGATCGGAAGTTTAGAATTTTTCGGGGATTAACCCAGCAAAGTTTTTAAAAAAATAATTTTAAGGTTGTGCTTTAGGCTGCTTTGACGGTTTTAAAAAAGCATTGGAAAAGCAGGATTCAAAAATGAGTTTAAGATGTGTAAATTGTAAGGAAAAAGGGATTTTAAATGGTATGCGGACATATCGGGATTGGGGTGACAAAAATAATTACTTGCGTGTTTACATTTGCTCTAAAACATACCTGGTCATGGATACGGATATGGATACAGATAATACCAAAATGCCTGCGGATATCCGCCTGTATCCGTCTGTATCTGCCGTAAATATCCGGATACGGATACCAAAATTAGTATCCGTGACCAGGTCTGGTTCTAAAACATAAAAACTGTTCTTCAATAGGACTATAATACTATCTAAGACCCAGTAACCGTAGGTTCCGAAATCTGTAGGGTATCTGTTCTTACATTGAAATATCCCGTTATGTCCTCTGTAGTAGGTCAAAATTTTGGGTTGTTTATCATAAGAATTATAAAGAAAAAAAAATAAATACCCGATTTTCGAGAATCGGGACGGAACGCTGCCTGGTATGTTCCCTTCGAACTACTAGTAGTGTGAAGGGAACGGATAAATGTCAATTAATGTATAAATAAAATCTGTAGTCCCTTTATATCCGCGTGCCTTTTAAATAATTAAATTAAAAAATTTAATTTTAAAGGTGGAAATATGATTGAAAATGTTATGCAATTTTATAGAGGATAAATAAGTAAAAATTTGAAAAAAGATTTTTTGTTGTTGACTTTTTCACTTAAAAGTAATTTTTATTTAATTATGCGAGACTCATTTTTAATTAATTTAGTTTTTTTCATTTTTTTATTCAATTTATTGCCTCATTTTTTACAAAAGTTTTAATTTTTTTTTTTTTGTTAAATTTTATTAGCTTTTTTCCGATAGAATAAAATTTTTGAAAAGAAAAGAGAATAAAAATTATTTTGAGATATTTTCTTAATTTTTATTTTAAACTAGAGTAGGGGCCTTCGGGGTCGAAATTGTCGGGGATCGGGGTTTGCCGGGGAGAGCGTGTCGGGTTTCGAGATCGGAGTTGACTTTTGTGTCGAGGTTTGGGTCAGGGTTTTTGCTAAGAAAATCGGGCTCTATTACACAATATACGTCCAATCAACTATTATGCGTCCAATCAACTTTTATACGTCCAATCAAAGTTTATACGTCCAATGAAAATTTATGCGTCCAATCAAATTTTTATACGTCCTATCAAAGTTTATGCGTCCAATCAAATTTTATACATCCAAACATATTTTTATCATGAATATAATTTAAGAAATAATTTTAAATAAAAAATCTTATTTCATCAATTAATTTTGAATGCTTTACCAAAAATTAAACCGGGACTTGTATTCCAATTAGGGTTGCCGGCCCGGTTCGGCTCAATAGGTCGAACCAGACGCCGACGCCGAATCAGTGCCAGGTTCGACCGGACGCCGAACTCAGTGCCAGGTTCGATAAAAATGAAGCCAGATAAAGACTCGACCGGTCCGGCTTGAAAAAAATTAGGCCCGAAAATATTCAGTTCAAATAATAAGTGATAAAAATATGTTTGGACGTATAAAATTTGATTGGACGCATAAACTTTTTATTGGACGCATAAATTTTCATTGGACGCATAAACTTTGATTGGACGTATAAAAGTTGATTGGACGTATATTGTGTAATAGAGCCGAAAATCGTCTTGGTACGGGGGACGGGGAGCTACTCTATTTTAAACACAACGCCCCTTCAATTAACCCTCAAGTTCGTATTAAATGGCTATTTTGGCAAATGTCCAGTTGGCTGTCTACCTGTCCGCAAAGAGAATCCGCTCTTTTCTTTCCTTTTCTTGCATTTTTTGCGTTGGGAGAAGTGCACCCCCTCAGTTTCCGTTTTCAGCATTTTTCCTTCTCAATACAGTATGTTTTCCTTTTCCTACTAACAAAATAAATTTCAAAAAATTTAAAAGATAATTTAAAAATATTTTAAAAAATATATTTATTTTACAATAATAAATTTTGGATAACATTCTCAAATATCACAATTGGAAACCATGTAGATATTCAATAACTAGTAATAGGGATTTTTTCTTTGATCAAGTTTTTGATCAAGAGTTTGATCGTTGAACAATGGGATCCAGAATTTTTCTACTGACAAATAAATATATTTTTTAAAATATTTTAAAATTATCTTTTAAATTTTTTGAAATTTATTTTGCAAGTATGAAAAGGAAAACATACTGTATTGAGAAGGAAAAATGATGAAAACGGAAAATGAGGGGGTGCACTTCTCCCAACGCAAAAAATGCAAGAAAAGGAAAGAAAAGAGCGGATTCTCTTTGCGGACAGGTAGACAGCCAACTGGACATTTGCCGGTTATGTCTCCTTAAATATTATTTTGAAATTTTTTAGATCATTATTTTGGGCTCATTAGAAAGCCATAGATCTATTATTTGTAAATCTAAATCTATCATTTGTAAAATATTTTTTTTCTAATTAGAGGTATTTTTCAAGTTTGAACAGGAAAACATACTGTATTGAGAAGGAAAAATGGAAGAAAAGGAAAAATGAGCGGAGCATTTCTCCCAACGCAAAAAATGCAAGAAAAGGAAAGAAAAGAGCAGATTCTCTTTGCGGACATGTAGACCGCCAACTGGACATTTACCGGCTATTTTTATTCGTTACAAATTCCTCTGCATCCCTAATAATCCCCCAACTTCCCTCTTAATCATTTCTAATCCCTCGGTTATCCTTTAATTGCACTGACTCTGCTTTGATGTTTAGAAATAGCACCCTTCTTGGCCTCAATGTCCAACATTAACCCCCTTCAAAACATACCAGAATTCCCGATTCCCAAAAACTGGGAATTTAATTTTTACGTTAGCTAGATTCCTGATACTTACACACATACAATTAAGTTTAGCACTCATTAAGGCACGGTTTTCAATTGGAAAATTATTTTTATTTCAGCTGGATCCCTGTTCACACCCCCCTCTTCCTACACACGAAAACAAACATTTTTCCTTTTGAAAATTTTTTTATTTCAAAATTTAGACAGATTGGGCTAGTTCCTATTTCCGACTCCAAAAAAGTATTTGGAAAGCAATTCCCTTCAAACAATTTCCCTCAACAGCTCCTTTCTCATTTAAAAAAGAAAATTCTACCTGTGAAGAACTTCCCTCAATTTGGCATTCCCACACACCCAAATTAACAATCCCTTTATTTTCTAATCTTTGTAAAGTATCCAAACAAAGTTTTCCATTTAAATTTTGAACCTTTTTTTGTTTTTAAATTTTAATTAGAAACAAAAAATATTTATATAACTAACCAAGCCATAAGCCTGAAAGAAGGGGACATTTAATTTAAAATAATTTTTAGACCTCACTATAAAATACACCCCTTTGAGAATAAACTCACTGTAAAATAACTCACTGTAACTCACTCACTCAAGAACAAAAGATTTAAGAAGAGAAAGGAGTAAAAGTCTATATACCTCCGAGCAAGGATTGATCCTGAGACCTGCGAACGATGACAGTTATTGCTAGATACTTTAGTTGGGACACGCCCACTTAGTCGCGCGGCCACTTAGTCGCAGAGCCATAACTTGCTAAAAAATTTCTGGCCCTTATCAATTTTGGTACCAATCTCTTTAGCTCGATGAGAGGAATCGTTTAATACTAAATTTGGTAAGATTCGGAAAACTTGAAGGAAGTTATAGCTCTGCGACTAAGTGGCCGCGCGACTAAGTGGGCCGTACCCACTTTAGTTGATAGTTTAGTTTTAGTTTATACTTTTCTCTTTTTTTAACCCTGAGTTAGTCAGCTTTATCTCTCACTAAAACATCCCCAGTTTTTTCTCCTTTTTTCCTTACAACACTAACTGATCCAAAGATTAGATGGAGGTGTTTCTAGTTTTTGAAGCTATTTTATAGTGAGGTTAAAGAATTTTCTCACCTTAACATCCTCATCTGGTATAAACTTTTCTGGGATAATATTATCCAAAAACCATTTAAAAGATTTACAATTTAATCTTTTTCTAAGTAATATCCTTTCACTTAAATCGCCAACATCAACATTCTAAAGTAAAAAAATTTTTTGGAAACCCCCGACAAATGTACAGTACTTATAGGGTCTTTCTAGGCGCTAATCCGATTAAAAATTGGAAAAAGCTGGAATTAAAACAAAAAATGAATTTCCTCGTAGTTTCTGCGCTATATCAATAGTGCACAAATTAGGGGAAAACAAAATGAGAGAGAGGGAATATACGGATATGGCCCAAGTAGTCTGATTAAAAATGGGAGTAGGCGCGCGGCCAAGTAGCTCCAAATTCATAACTTGCTTCAAGATTTCCGAATTTTTCAAAATTTAGTATTAAGCGATTCCTCTCATCGAGCTAACAGAGTAGTACCAAAATTGTTAAGTTCCAGAAATTTTCCAGCTAGTAATGGCTTTGCGCCTACTTGTCCGCGAGCCTAATTGGGCGTGTCCCAGAAAATAAATCACACTGAACTATTTATTATAATTCTAAGAACAGTGTGAATTTTTGGAATCGGAATCTGAAAAACATTTTGGAATTACCAGAACACAACTTTAAATTAACCGAAAGAGTGTCTCTCAAATAATTAAAAAATATTTCCCCTACTTTTAATCCCATTCTGTGCACATAAAATAATCTTTTATAATCATCCATCCAAACTTCTGCCAGTCTTTTAGAATTTGTCCCGTGAACGTCTTTATTGTTGCCCGGACCTGTCATGTTGTAGGGATGGCCATTTCGGTAAATATGCCCAACATGTGAACAGGGAATTATTTCTAATGTTCCGCCACACATCCAAACCTTTTTTAAAGTGAGAAAAAAATTTTTTTAATTAAAAAAAGGTAGTCGAATCTTCCTATAAAATGAGGATGAAAAATTGCATAAATGGAAGACAATTTAAAAATTAGGAGTATTGCCTACTCCCCCTCAATAGACTCACTCCCCCTCCCTCCAATAGTTGACCGGATTTAAAAAAAGAAGGTAGGTATCTAGTATGTTAAATCGAGGTGTATTTAGGTAGGGAGCAGGCCGGTTATACGACACTTGGGGACGGACTTTTGCGGACCGACATTTGAGGATGGACATTTGAGGATTGCGGACCGACATTTGGGGATCGACATTTGAGGATCGAATTTGAGGAATCGACATTTGAGGACCGACATTTGGGGATTGCCATTTGAGTATAAGAATATTTGTATCTTAAAACAGAAATTACCACAAATTATGTACTACGGTGAAGTTGTTGCACAAGCGAGGGAAGTTGACTTGTCGGCGGGGGATGCTGTTTAAACGACGGGGGAAGTTGTTCAGACAACGAGGAATGTTGTTCCGACAACGGGGGAAGTTGTTCAGACAACGAGGAATGTTGTTCCGACAACGGGGGAAGTTGTTCAGACAACGGGGGAAGTTGTTCCGTAAACGTGGGATGTTGTTCAGTCACCGCGAGAAGTTGTCCCGTCAATGGCAAGAATTTTTTCCGTCAATAGTGGAAGGTAATCTGCGTGTTGAAATAACCTCTCCCGTCGTTGGAACAACATCCCCCATTGTCTGAACAACTTCCACCGTCGTTTAAACAGCATCCACCGCCGACAAGTCAACTTCCCCCGCTTATGCAACAACTTCACCGTATTACATAATTTGTGATAATTTCTGTTTTAAGATACAAATATTCTTATACTCAAATGGCAATCCCCAAATGTCGGTCCTCAAATGTCGATTCCTCAAATTCGATCCCCAAATGTCGGTCCCCAAATGTCGGTCCGCAATCCTCAAATGTCCATCCTCAAATGTCGGTCCGCAAAAGTCCGTCCCCAAGTGTCGCACCACGAGCAGGCCAACTACAACTTAATGAGAGCTACAACTTTGTTCAAAATAGTCGAATCCGGGAAGCCCTGGTATGGTTCGATGCGCCTCGACGAGTTGAATCGAATCATACCATAGCGACTATGAACAAGTTATAGCTCACCGGTAAGTTGGGGTGTACCCATTTGGCTCCCGGAGATTTGGGGAGTGGACATTTGGGGAGTGAGCGGACATTTGGGGAGTGGACAATTGGGGAGTAGACATTTGGGTAGTAAGTATTAAAAAAAATTTAAAAATAGATTTTTTGGCCAATAAAAATAATTTATACACTAGTGAAGGTGTTTTTGTGGAGTTATAAAGGGTAAAATTCAATTCCCCCACTTTTTTCCTTGCTCAACGTATTAAAAAGTGGTCAGTCAATCTTAGGTTATAGAACTCGTCGAGCTTCGTCGAATGTCAAAGCTCTCACTGTATCGTTTTTAGCGCCGCAGGCAAAACGTTTAAGAATATTTGAAGGCTAAGAAGCTAGATTTCTTCCTTTTTCATCACCGCATGCGAAAATTTTGAGAATTTTGAGAGGTTAGTTAAACGCCGTCTAGAGTGACAGTATCCCGTTTATGCCGTTTATCTAAGACTATACCATTCCGTTTAATTTTACCAAAAAACCCATTTACCATATACCGATTATCGTTTAGCTAAACGGTTTTGTGCTACCCTAATTTCTAGTGAAACCATGACCCCCGACCGAAAAGTCAATCCCGACTCCGAACCCCGACATGCCTTTACCAGCAAACCCCGATCACCGACATACCAGCCCCCGAAGGGAGGTTGCTATCCTACTTTTATGGGTGTACTCAACCGGCTACAGACATCAAAATATCTTTAAAATCTTTGAAACTCCACAAAAACACCTTCACTAGTGTATAAATTATTTTTATTGTCCGAAAAATCTATTTTAAAATTATTTTTTTAAATCCTCACTCCCCAAATGTCTACTCCCCAATTGTCCACTCCCCAAATGTCCGCTCACTCCCCAAATTTCCACTCCCCAATTGTCCACTCCCCAAGTGTCCACTCCCCAAATTTCCGGACACGACCCATTTAGGTATTAGATAATTGTAATAATTATAGTTTAAACATTTTTCAGTATATCTAAGATATATCTCTGACATTTTCTAAAATTTGGATGGCCACGGGGTGGGTGGGAAGCTCTGTGAATAATCCCTCCCTTTAGTGTTGGCGGACCCTGAGAAATCCCCAAATATTCGGGGATCCTGAAGCGATAGGGAGATTTTCTTCAGATTTTTTCAGATCAAGATATCAGGATCCAACAACTCTACTTCTTTCCCTTAATTAAGATACCCCATTCATTATAAAATATGTAGAGATTCGACTTTAATTTTAATTAATTTCCTCCTTACTCTAAAAGATATTTCCAAATTTTCTCCACCCCAAATATCCATTCCAGGGTCATAACCGCCAACTTCAAAAAAATATTCTCTGTTGACAGCAAATAACCCTCCAGCCATTGTAGGGGTTAATAAAGGGTCTACTTCCGGATTTTTCCTTCTTTTCTTTTCTCTTTCAGGTAGTTCAGACATACTATAGTGCAAACTCCACCTTGTAAAAAATATTTTTTTTAAATCAAAATTATTTTTGTACCAACCAAAAAGTCCCTATACCACCAGCACCCCCAATTTGATATTCCATTGTTTGATCCTTTAAAATAATTTTAGTAAAATTCTTATTAAATTGAGATTTTGGGGATTTATTTAGGCAGTCGGGCTTAAATTGTAAGGACCAAGGACTGCGCCGACCCGATTCACGATTCCCGAAAATAGTAAAGCGGCTGGGCTATAGCTATTTCCCTCCTCCAGCTAGTGCAAAAGGTTATTCGGCGACTGGGAGCGAACCAGCATCTTCAGGGTAGAGCTCCTGTATATGGTGAGCGAAAGCGCTTAACAATAACTCCTAGGAGGTCGCAGGAGGCAAGGAGGCCTGCCCGGTTTCTAAACTTTTGCTAAACTCTTTCTAAATAAATTGTCGCCGAAGCGACGTCTGATTAATAAATTTGATTAATTTTTTGGTGATCTGTTGTCCCTCATGCTTTAATGTTTTTTCTAACTTAACCGCCGCATATTTCAATGTTAACCACACCCCTTTTTTTAGCCTGTTCACTAAAATGGTTTTCCTTTAATCATTTATTTATTTTTAAGCTTCTCCGATAAGCTCATTTTTACTATTTTCCTGCCACCTGCAATTTAATTTATTGAAATAGTTTTTTTGCCTGTCATTTAATGGAATTTCTACTTTACCAATCTAATTATTTAGAGTTAAGAATTTCGACTTTTTTATTTATTCATGCTTGAATTTTAACTCTTTAGGCCTCTCATTATTTAATTCTAAACTTATCTAAAACTGAGGCCTAAAGATCCTTTTTTTCAATTGTTAGGCCATTTTTAATTAATCATTTTTTAATCTTTTTTTGTGGCCTATAATCATAATATTCTTTTTCACACATTTTTGTCTGTTTGGGTTTAATTACCCAAGTTTAAGGTTCTCTAAATAAATATTTTAATTTGATTGTTCTTTTCTTTATTGTTTGGTATTCCTGCAATTGCCGCCCTTAGGCATTATTATTAGCTCGTCAATAGAGCTTTGGTTCCGTCCACTCGCCCTAGAGAGTTGGATCACCCTTTTGAAGAATTTAGGGCTTTCCGGGACAATCTAATCAATCCCGACACTTGCGGTTTCACACCTGTCGCGCCGCAACCCCATTTTTGTTTTCTTCAGCGACATAAATTAAAAAAATATTTTGTTTTACTAAAATATCAGCAAATTTGCGCAAATAAATATGGCTGAGATTTTGTTATAATAAGAGAAAGTAAAAGTTTAGTCCCGGAAAGGCATCGATCCCGGAAGTTGTTTGCTAGATACTTTGTCTTCTGGTCTTCCAAAATTTCTCAAAATTTTTACTTGCGGCGCGGAGAACAAAGATTATTGGCTTCTTAGCCCTTTTTTGGCCGATTTCGCCCCCTTTAAGTGAAGCCATACCCCTTTTGGGGGTTTGGCAAGGGTCGCCCTGTCCCCGACTAATAAAGAAGATAGTCAAGGACAGAAGAGCATCGATCTCGAAAGACTACTAAAGAAACTTAATTAAAAAAAGCCTAGAAAAGTCGAAAGCTATCCTCTCCCCTAAACTATTAATTCAATACTAAAATAAAAATTAAAAAAAAAATATTTACAGAAATAATATCAATAACGGGGCAAACAACAGCTGAACGTTGTTTTTTAATTCTTTGAAGTAAAGGTTCTAACCTAGAAAATTTTTTCTAAGATTTTTAATTCCCTTCCAAATTACCATCCTTCATTAGCCTCACAATGAGAATCTAAAAAGACAACAACATCCCCTCTAGCATATTTAGCACCAGCCAGTTTTGCTCTAATCAACCCTAATCTGTTATGGGCTCGTAAAAGACGAACTTTCTTGCCAAAACGGCGTAAATGTTCAATTAATGGAAAGCCAAGATTTTCTTTAAAAAAATAAAAAGAAAATAAAAATTAATCAAAGTCCCTCCATTAGAGACCAGATTGAGAGGGTCTTGCAAGAATCGAGACCAAGATCTCGAAACATATCGAACTCGATAACCTATATTTTTCCAAGATCTCGTCTCGGTCAGATCTCTACTCTCCACCCCCAAAAAGTTTAGAGAGATAATTAAGAGAAGGGACCTAACTGAGGATTAAACCAGAGTCGAGATGGTTCGGTTCAATATTTTGTGTTGGATATAGTTGTTAGTAGGGTTGCCGGCCCGATTCGGTTCGATACTCGACCGGTCCGGCCCGAAAAAATGAGGCTCTAAAAAATGACTCAAACGTCGGCCCGGTTCCAAAATGGCAACTCTAGTTGCTAGCCCTCTCCCCCTAATCCCTCCTCCGAACTTTTTCTTGGAATAAAAACAACTCCCCCACTAAGTACCCATGTATTTTAATGCAAGATTTTTCCAACCCAAGGGTTATATTCGAATCTAGGTATATTTTTTACCGTGTTGGCTAAAGTCATCCACTAGAACCTAAATAATTTTTTTCTTAATTAAAAAAATTTATTTTTATAAATTTACCACTTCTCTAAGTAAATTATCTGGAGTTCTATTAATTACAGAATGTACAGTTCGAAGCAAAACAGAAGGATATTCATCAGTAAATACTTAAATATTTTTTTAAAAATTATTTGTGAAATATATTAAGGACTCTAAGAAGGGAAGTAATTCACCCCATTTTGACTTGAGATTAAATTATAAACAAAAAGAGGACAGTCTCGAGTTTAAAGTAGAGTTAGGACTAGTGCCCGGCAAAATCGATCTTGCCGGATCCGGATTTGCAAGTAGAGCCGGAACGGATCCGGCCGGATTTTTCCGGGTTAATCCGGTCAGGAAAAAATCCGAAGATCGTGAAAAACCCCGGATTTGGGAAGGTCCCGGACTCCGGATAATCCGGCCGGATCCTGTCTGGCACCGGGCACTAGTTAAGACTAATTGAATATTCGATTGAATAATTTCGAATGCTTCAAATTCTAACTTGGACCGACTTTTTTTGTGTAAACCCGAATAATTTTCGAGTTCTAATCATTCCTAATTTTAGTCTGATTTCAGTTTATATTTTCTTAATTTTGACAGAAATGGTGAATCGGGAAAGTTGCCCTCCCCTTATTTTTTAATTTAATTAATTTACCAATAATAACCGAAGCTCTAGGCAAATCTTTATCATAAATTTGTGAATGACATAAACTTGTTCTAGAATCAGGAATTGAACGGTCCAGGGAAATTAAATCACTTAAAAATAAAATTTTTAATTTATTTGAAATTGTCTTTTAAACTGACCCGGGCCGAGTTTTCAGAGTTACCCTCAAAAATTGGATTTTATTTTAGTAATTCCTATCTTGACTTATAGGCCTATGAAGCAGAGGTGTGCCAAAAGTGATTTTGAAAAGTGAAAAACGAACCCCCCCCCCCCTCCCCCTTCCCCCTGCTGTCAAGCCAGTCATGGGTAAGAGGTTGGCGGTTCGGGGTACCCGAAGATTTTCCATGAACGGTCAGGCGCTGGTCACAGTCCTAATGACAGTCCCTCTAAAAACCATTTCCCCCTCCCCTCCCTCAATTACCTTTAAATTAATTAAATTCCTATTTTGACCTATAGGTCTGTGAAGCCAGTCAGCCAGGCATGGGTAAGAGGTTGACAGTTCAGGTTTTCAGGCGGTTCCGGGTACCCAAAAATTTTCCATAAGCCACGAAGAACTGGTCACAGTCTCCTAATCACAGTCCCTCCAAAGCGAAAGGCGAAACTCCCCCCCCCCTTGCTGTGAAGCCAGTCATGGGTAAGAGGTTGACCATTAAGAGGTTGACCACCAGTAAGACCATTCCCCCTCCCCTTCCCTCCCTCAATTACCCACCTAGCCACAACATTCATAAACCACTCCTTTTTAAGTTTATCAGCTTTTATTTTTTGTTCTCCACTTAAAATAACAGGAGCACCATTTTCTCCAATCCCCGTTCTTTTTATATTTTTTGAAGGAATTTTGTGTTGTTGGGAATGATGAAAGAAAGATAATTCTGAAATTTGTTCCTCTGTTATGTTGAAATTTAAATTGAGAAATTCCGCTGGAATTGCGTGGCTGTTTTAAAAAAAAATTTTGAAAAAAAATTAATTTTAAGGAAGGAAAGGTTAACTAGCAAGGCGTCCACGTCTATTTCGTTCACCACCTATACGTGGTGAACGAAGTTCCATAGCAATAACTGCTGGGGGTCTTACTTGAAGAATACCCTAAAAGAACAAAAGAACTACCAGCTATTTATAAAATGTAGGGGGTGTTTATTGGAATTATTTTAGCCCATTCTCAAGACTTTTCGAAATTAAGCAAATCCCCTTAAAAGTGTTTGTCTGTAGTAGAGTTGTCGGTTCTGGACCGAACCGACGATTTTTCGCTTCGGTTCTTCAGTTCGGATCAGGGTATCCGAAGATTTTCCAGGAACCGTCAACCCTAGTCTGTAGTATTGGTAGAGGATATATCTCCTCACCTTTCACCAAAATAAGAGTCAGGAATTTAAACAAAAAACGAAAGTTCAATTTGGTTAACAAAAGAATTTTAGTAAAAATCAAAAAAAGCACCCATTTAATTAGAGATATCAATTTTATCAATTTATTCCCTCAAAGAAATACCCAAAAAGGGAAACTAAAATTTTTTGGTCCTCTTATTTTAATTAATTCCTAATTAATTTTTTATTTAAATTAATTTAAATTAATTTACCCATCAGGAAAGACTCCCTCCCTTTGTTGAATTAAATTAGTATCAATCCAAGCATAAAACATTACATAAACAACAAAAAAACAAATTCCAATAATTAAAGTTAAAGCCCATCGGACACGTGTAAACTTGCGCCTTTTCCTTTTTTGTTGAAGTTCTGTTGAGTGTTTGTAGGGAAAAAATATTTTTTGTAAAATTGTTGGGGACATTTTAACTGAAAATTTGTATTTTTTAATTAAAAAATACCTTCTATTTAGTAAACCTCTATATAATTAATGGTATTTTTGGGCCTTCCCCTACCTTCTAAAAAATTTTGAAATTTAAATATTTAATCTAATAAATGAGGCAGATAAAATAAAAAATAAATTAGCCTCATATATTAAATAAATACAAGGGGCCGTGCTATCTAAAATCTGGATTTTTTTCGATTCGAAACCCGAACAAATTTTGAAGTTTTTGAAAGTAGGCCTAGATTTTTATTATTTTTTTAAAAAGATTTTTCTCGTAGTATGAAGGGAAAGTATCAGGAATCCTGCCTACCCGATTCCCTAAAATCGGGAATTTATGTTTGCAAAATCATTGATATTTAAGTCGGTAACAAGTATTAAGGCACGTATTAATAACGTGTAATTATGTATTAAACTTTACCTTTTATTTTCCGGTCTATCAGAATACCATGGATAATGCCGACATAAAAACTAAATTCGTGATTTTAGGGAATTGGGTCGGTAGGATCCCTAGTACACTCCAAAAAAAGACTTGAAGAATAAAAAATCTAAGCCTTCCCCTACCATCTAAAGAATTCGAAAAATTTTCTAAAATTAATTTAAAAATAATTTTTAAAAAATTATAAAGAGGTTAAAAAATATTTGAAAAATTAAAAGAAATGTTTTTAGTCATTAAAAAAACTTTAAATTAAATTTAAATTTTAAAAAACAAAATTTTTATTTCAAAAAAATATTTAACTAAAAAACAGTCCAAATTAATTTTTAACAAAAAATTATTTCTTTTGTTGTGGTTCATCACCCAAATCCTCTATGGCATCCTCGTCTACACCCCATTTTTCAGGTATTAATTCGAAAAGTTCGTCCTAGAAAAAAAATATTCAATTATTTTTTAAATTTGGTTAGGCATTGGGAGGAGAAAAGTACCCCAAACGTATATCCTTGAATAACTACCATAGGTACCGTATTTTCTCGATCAATTCCCCTGGGGAATTATTTTTTCAACCCTTACTTGGCATGGGGAATTAATTGAGGGAGGGGAATTATTCGAGGTTTGGCATTTGAACGTGCAGTAGGGCAGGCCCGTAGCCAGGGGGGTAGGGGGGGGGGGGAATTCCCCCCCCCCCCCGAAATGGGGAAAAGGGAAAAATTTGGGGAAGGGCTGGGCCAAAAAAAGTGAATTTTTTTGGCCTACGGCCTTCGAAATTTTCAAAATTTTCGCCTGCGGCGCTGAAAATAAAAATTTTTGGCGCCGAAGGCGCCAAAAATTTGGCGCAAAAAATTTTTCCCCCCTTTGCCCCCCCCCCCGAAAAAAATCCTGGCTACGGGCCTGCAGTAGGGTATTTGGGGGTGGGAATTATTGTTTCAACCCAACTCTAGCATGGAGAATTATCGAGAGGGGGAATTATTCGAGGGAGGGGAATTAATCGAGAAAATACGGTAACTATGTTTCGACCTCTCCCTGGAGGAAGTAAATAATTGAGGTAAGGCATCAGATAGAGGGAGCATTAGGGCATTTTGCGGACGGGAATTATTAAATATCTCGCTATAGAGAGGGAGAGTAATTAATCGAGGTGGAAAAATTATTTGAGTGAGGGCCATTGGTAGAGGTTATAAGGTAATTTAAATATTCTTCCAAATATACTAATATAAAAAGGGATAAACGAGGGCCGAGGACATTAAAAAATATTTTCAAAAATTTAGAAAAAATTTTTTTAATTACTTTAAAAATTAAAAAATTCAATAAAGAAATATTTTTTAAAAGAAGAAAAAAATTCTCCACCTTAAAATCCCCTTGAATAACCAATTCATCAGTACTCGCAACAGAACAACCACAAGCAAATTTATTAGAAAATAATTTGGAGGCCGTTTTTAAATCAATATTGCATGTTAAAAGTCCTTTAACTATTGTCACAGATTTGTTTTTGCTTCGCGTTTCTGTTTTTAAAGTAATTTTTTGTTTAATTTCTTTTTGTCCTTTTTTGCCTTGTTTTGACGATAATGTTGACGAAGTAGAACCTTTACCGCCTCTTTTCTATTAATTAATTAATTAGAAGGGAAATTAATCAGAATTAATTTTAATATGCTTTCCGGAAAAATCAGAAAATAAATAAACCTTCCGGAGGTCCAGAATTAATTTACATAAGCTTCCCGAAAAGACCAGAATTTTAAAACTTTCCGGATAAATCAGAATTAAGATTAAGAAAAATCAGAATTTAAAAATCAGAATTTTAATAAACTTTCCGGAAAGAACAGAAAATAAACTTTAGAACAGAATTTTCCTAGATAAGCACAACTCCAAAATCAGAATTATTAAAGTTTAAAATTCAGAATTAGAATAATTATAACCTTTCCGGAAAAATCAGAAGACTAGGAAAAAACAGAATTATAATTTTAATAACTTTCCGGAAAGATCAGAAAAAATATACAATCAGAACAGAATTTTCCTAATAAACACAATTCTAAGATCAGAATTATTAAAACTTAAAATTCAGAATTAATTATAACCTTTCCGGAAAAATCAGAATTTTAAAAACTTTCCGGAAAAGTCAGAATTTTAACAAACTTTCCGGAAAAATCAGAATTTATTTTAATTTAACTAAATCTCTACCTGATGCTTCTTCTCCGTCTGTTGTTCCCCTTCCCCACCCTCATCAATTTTTAATTGTTCTGTTGCAACCTCAGGAAGGTTGGTAATTAACCACTGTTTACATTTTTCAGGCATTCCACTAAATTCGCAATATTCTATAGGCATTGTACAGGCTTAAAAACAAATTAAATTCAAAATTGTCTCCCCCTTCCAAATACCTCCACAATAGGTCACACTCAAAGGATAAACAATTTCTTTTTTAGCTTCTTCCCCACCCTCATTTTGTTCGTTTTCTGTTGACATCTCAAAAAAATTTATTTTTTTCTAAAATAAATTATTTAAAAATTAATTTTAAAATATTTAAAAAATATTAAATATTATTTAAAAAAATATTTTTTTTAATTAAAAAATAAATAAAAATAAATTTTAATGCAAATCAGATTATTGACACATTAAAAACAGAAAGGCAACAATAAACAAATAAGAAAAATTTAATATTAAATATTTAGAGGAAAGGAAAATCAGAATTAATAAAAAAAATTCTGAAAATTTATATTAAATATAAATCAGAATTGTTTCATAAAACCAGAATTAATTTAAATAAGCTTTCCGGAAAGACTAAAAAATAAATAAATTTTCAGAACATGATTTTCTGAAATAAGTTTATTTATTTAAAAAATCAGAATTAATTTCAAAATAAACTTGTTTTAAAATCAGAATTATAAAAACTTAAAATTCAGAATTGAAAAATAAACTTTCCGGAGAGATCAGAATTAATTTTAGAAAAATTCTGAAATAAATATAAATCAGAATTATTATTTTATAAAAATCAGAATTAATTTAAATAAAATTTCCGGAAAGATCAGAATTAATTCTAAAATAAACTTGTTCTATCTCTAAATACAAACAGAAAATAACTTAAAGACTTATAAATCGTGACACGTTTTATTTAAATATTTTATTTTTATGGCTACTTTTTTTTTAAATTTAATTTTTAATTTTTTAAATCAATAAAATAAACGTGTCTTTAAAATTACGTGTCAATAAAAATTTTTTTAATAAAAAAATTTTTTTAATTTAAAAAATAGCCATTCAAACACACACAATATTGATGCAAATAAAAAATAATATCACAGGGAAAATAAAAAAAAATATTTTTATAATTTAAAAGACTAGTTTAATAAATAAAATAAAATTTTTCAAAATATTTTTGGATATACATATTAAAGGAAAAAAATAATTTCTTTAGGGAAGAAAATAATTTTTAAAAATAATTACTGGGAAAGAAATGAGCAAAGAAAAAAAAGATTTGGGTACAATTTTTAGAAATTTTGTTTAATTTGGCAGAAAAAAAATAATTTTTTTAAATTCCCCCTTAATTAATCCCAATAAATAAATTCCCATTTTTGAGTCAATTTATCCTTATCACAAACTTCCAAAGGCACTTGATCTCCATTTTTGGCATTTAAAGATTCTAAACACAAATTAGTCCCCAAATTCTTCATTAAACCATCCTTTTTTAAATTAAAAAAAATTTTTTTTTTAATTTTTAAAAAATTTAATTTTTTACTTTTGTTTGTTCCCACAATTGGTTTCTATTCCCCAAATCACAATTAGGCACCAAATAAACAACTTTTTCTGATTCTTTAGCTTCTGCACAAGTAATTTCTCTTCTAAGTTGGTTTTTCTTGCTTAAAGAAAATACTTGGGCTGAGGAGGCGCCTCCTTGACACTGAAAAAAATCAGAATTAATTTTCCGGAAAAATCAGAATTAATTTTCCGGAAAAATCAGAATTAATTTTCCGGAAAAATCAGAATTAATTTTCCGGAAAGATCAGAATTAATTTTCCGGAAAAATCAGAATTAATTTTCCGGAAAAATCAGAATTAATTTTCCGGAAAAATCAGAATTAATTTTCCGGAAAAATCAGAATTAATTTTCCGGAAAAATCAGAATTAATTTTCCGGAAAAATCAGAATTAATTTTCCGGAAAAATCAGAATTAATTTTCCGGAAAAATCAGAATTAATTTTCCGGAAAAATCAGAATTAATTTTCCGGAAAAATCAGAATTAATTTTCCGGAAAAATCAGAATTAATTTTAAAAGCTTTCTGAAAAATTCAGAAACTTAAATAAATATTCCAGAAAGTTTATTTAAATTAATTCTGATTAATCAGAATTTTTTAAAAATTTCCGGAAAATAAAATTATTTAAAAAATCAGAATTTAAAACAAACAGAAAAAACAAATAAAGGTGTTGTTGTCTTTTCTTCCTTCTGTAATGTGTCTAAACATAACTGACTTGCCACGTTTTGAAGCTAAAAATAAAATAAGAAAAGGAAGAAAATAATAAAATTTTTATTTATTTAACAAAAACTAACCGCTCCAAACCCATGTACTTCTAAAAAAAAGAAAAAAAATTAAATAAAAAAAAATATTTTTAGAAATAAAAATAGTCAAAACCCCGGTATTATATGCTAAAATATTTTTTTCGGTGTGAAAAAATATTATAACCTAATAATGACTTCCCTATGTTTGTGGAAGTCTCAGAAGTCTTGGGGAAACCCCTTGTACTTTAGATTACTTTAGAATGTTTAAACAAAAATTTCCCCCCAACCAGCGGATAATCAAAGCCAAAAGGTGTACGAACATATTGGGACGGACATATCAAGATTGGGGTGACAAAAATAATTTCTTGTGTGTTTACGTTTATTCTAAAACATAAAAATTCTATTCTGGACAATATACCTTCTAAGACACAGTGACCGTAGGTTCCGAAATCAGTGGGGTAACTGTTCTTACATTGAAATATCCCGATATGTCCGCGTGCCAACCAAAAAAAATTTAAAATGGAAGAGTAACTAATTTTGGGAGGTATTTAAAAATGAGGTGTTTTTTGACTGATTAATAATAATCAGAATTAAAAAAAAAATATTTTTAATAAAAAAATTTTTTTTAATTTAAATTTTACCTTCATCAGGAATGAATTTTTCCGGAATAACATTATCCAAATACCACTATAAAAAAATAATTTTTTAAAAAATTATTAAAAAAATTTATCAAAATTTACCTTAAAATCTTTACATTTTAATTTTTCTTTCAATTTTTTCCTTTCATTTAAATCCCCAACATCCTTCCCAATTAAATCCCTTCTATGTAAATAATATAATCTTTTATAATCATCCATCCAAACTTCCGCCAATCTTTTAGAATTTGTCCCGTGAACGTCTTTATTGTTGCCTGGACCTGTCATGTTGTAAGGATGGCCGCTTCGAAAGATGTGACCGACGTGGGAACAAGGAATAAATTCTATTGAACCTCCACACATCCAAACCTGTTAAAATCAGAATTAAAAAATAAAATCAGAATTTAATATTAATTCCGGAAAGTTTTTTTTGTTTAAAGGAAAGTTTTAATTAATTCTGATTTACAGTGGAGTGCAAAAGTAATGATTCATGGGTCACGCAAAGGAATTTAGTACTATAACTTTTTAAAAAATGGTCCAAATGAAACTCATAATGGATGAAAATATTCCCCAAGGTGTCAGCATCAGATATATATAAAATTTGGCTAAAATTAATTTCAAACGTGAAAGTTAAAAAATTTTAAACGAGTTTCAATTAATTCTGATTTTTCCGGAAAGTTTTTATAAAATAATTCTGATTTCAGAATTTTTTAAAATTAAAATCAGAATTAAGTAAAATTAATTCAGGAAAGTTTTAATTAAAAAGAAAATGCCGATACTCCCGGAAATTTTTTAAAATTAATATTTCAGAAATATTTTTAAATTAATTCTGATAAGCTCAAAACTTGTTTTCCTCTCAAAACTTGTTTTCCGGAAAATTGAAAATAATTCAAATTAATTTTTTTAATGGGAGCAGGCCGATATACCGTGTGCCCATTATACCGTCGAGTTATAACTTCGTTCAAATTTGTCGAATCCAGGACACCCTGGTATGGTTCGATGCGGCTCGAGAAGCTGAAACAAACTATAGCAGGGCCTCCCGGATTCAAAAATTTTGAACAAAGTTATAGATCGGCGGTATACTGGGCTGCCGGTATACTGGGGGTGTACCTTATTTTAATATTCCGTAAAATTAAATAATGTAATTTATGTCTCTACAAGAAAATTCTAATATTCCCAGAAAGCTTTGAATACCCAAAAAACTTCCAGAAAAAAATCAGAATAAATTTTTAAAAACTTCCCTAAAAGGTTAATTAAAAAATAAAATTTCCTCCTTACTCTAAAAGATATTTCCAAATTTTCTCCACCCCAAATATCCATTCCAGGGTCATAACCACCAACTTGAAGGAAATATTCTCTGTTAGCAGCTAATAAACCTCCAGCCATTGTTGGGGAACTAAAAATAAATTTTTTAGAAAATTAAAAAAATTTAAAAAAAATTTTTACGGAATTGGATCAGCAGCCGATTTCAAAGTTTTTTTAATTCTTTCAGGGATTGGATCCCAACGAAAATGCAAAGACCAGAAAAACGTTCCAATAGAATTAATTTCACCTCCACTTGTATATGCTAAAAAATAAATTAAAAAATTAATTTAATTAAAAAAATACCCATAGTTTCAGCATTTATATTATCTATTGAAGGACATACAATTGCTGTTCTCTTTTCTTTTATTCTTTCAAGCATTGGTTCAAGCCTTAAAATTTTGTTTAAAAATTAAGGAAAATTTTTTTTAGAAATTGAGGCTTTCCTCTAGTTTTTATATACATATGTATACTCAAAAAGTTTTGGATTTTTCTTTGATTTTCAAAGCCGGAGTTGTTTTCGTTCCTTAACGTTTTAAAGTGGGGTTGGACGAGGCCGTTTAAGTCCTCGTTTATTTTTCCCTGTGGCGGACTTTTCCCTCTTCTCCTTTTTTTGACCTGCCACAGGGTTCAAAAAGTCTCGCTTTAAACGGTCTCGTCCAACCCTATTAAAGGGTAGAATCTAGGAGCACCAAACTATTTAAAAGTTTATTTAAAATAATTTTGTTTGGCTACAGAGAATTTTAAAAAATTAAGAAAACCATTGATAATCCAAAATTAATATAAACAAAAGCCAAACTGGCAAAAGTTTGGCTCAAGCCAACTGGCCAAAACTCAAAAAACCCATCTTTGAAAACCAAAATAAATTTTAATGAAGATACAACAGAATAAAGCTCCCAAAAATTTCCTTATTAAAAATTTAAAAAAACACAAACCATCCAATATTTGCCTCACAATGTGAATCCAAAAACACAACAACTTCCCCACGCGCTAATTTTGCACCGTTTAACTTTGCACGAATCAAACCATTCCTTTCTTTGAATCTGTGAATGCGCACTTTTCCATTAAATCGTTTGATGTAATTGTCAAGATTTTGGTGGAGATCGTCTAAATTTTAAAAGTTTTTTTTTAAATTTAAATTGAATTGGAAAGTTAAATTTTGCTTAAAATTTTACTACAGAATGATACATATAAATAGTTATAATCAAAATTTTTCGAAAAGTGCTAGCTAATTTTGATTAAGAATAAATTTGGATAGTATTGAACAGAACAATCTAACCTTACTTTTAGTACCTTTTTGGGGCTAAAAAATCGTTTAAATTTTATTGAGGAGGTACCATTAAACATCTAATACCCAATCTAGTAGTGTATCAAACTTGAAAATAAATTCCAAATAAATGGAGGGAGGAGGGTTAAATTGGAAAGTTCTAATTAAAATTTTTCGGAAAGTGTCTAAAATACAGTGGACCATTTCCCAAAAAGTTATAGTACTAAATTACTTTGCGCGACCCTTGAGTCATTACTTTTGCACCCCACTGTAAGAATGAGATATAATTGAAATTCCTTTAGAAATTAATTCTTTAATAATTTTTTTTGAAAAATTTAAAAAATCATTTTCGAAACCAGTCCCCCAAAAATTAAAAAAAACCTCTTTGACTAAAATCATCAACCAACAAAACTTCTTCCAATAATTTATCAGGTGTTCTATTAATCACAGAATGGACAGTTCGTAATAATGGAGACCAAGCTTCATCAGTAAAAATAATAACAACCGAAGTTTTTGGTAATTTATTTAAATCATAAATTTTTGTTTTGCATTCTTTAATACGGACATCTGGCAATGAACGATCCATAGAAATTTTGTCACTGAAAAAATTTTTTTATTATATATTATTAGTTAATTTCCTCTTTTTCAACTTTACTTATCGCTGGTTATAATGGTAAATTTTGGATTTCATAACATTGTTTGGGTTTATGATCCGAGATAATTCTAGTGGTTTGGGATTAGCTACTGGGTTTTGGTACCTTTTTGGCTTGTAATTTTATAAAATGAAATACCAAGAAATCCCGGCAGAAAGAATCGATGAAAAATGGATTCGAATCGGACTCTTATAAAAATTAACGGACGCCTTAAAGCTTAATAACCATAAATTGTAACGAAAATCATAACACAAATCTAAAGTAGAAAAACACAAATTAATTAATAAAAAAATTTAAAAAAAGTTTAAAAACCGGGGGAAGTTTTTTTAATATTAACCCCACAATTTAAAAAAATTAAAAAACCTAGCAGCAACATTCATAAACCATTTTTTCATGTCCGCAGTGCCCTGAACTGCTTCTTTGCCTGTTAAAAACACGCCATTGCCCATTTCACCTGGACCTATAAAAATTATTTTTAATTAAAAAAAACAAAAGAAAACCATTTTTATTCTTCACAGGCAAAACCGCCGCAAAAACCTTTTTATTTACACTTTTCCCAACAATTTCTTTCTTTTTATTTAATAAACTTTTGTTTTGTGGTGCCCAAGTCCTTCCTTCACCCGGTGGAAGTTCTTCTATTGTAGTTAACCAATCACGAATTAAAATAAAACAAATCATTGAAACCAGAATTAAAGAGAGTAATAAATTAAGTGTTGATATTCTGAAAAAATAAAAAAATCAGAATTTTAAAAAATCAGAATTTTAAAAACCAGAATTAAAAATCAGAAGTAAAAACTAGAAAAATCAGAATCAAAAAACCAGAATTAAAAGTCAGAATTTAAAAACCAGAATTAAAACCAGAATTTAAAAACCAGAATTAAAAATTAGAATATAAAAATCAGAATTAAAAAACCAGAATTTTAAAAATCAATAAAACCAGAATTAAAAAATCAGAATTTTAAAAAATCAGAATTTTAAAAACCAGAATTAAAAACAGAATAAGTAAAAATTTCTGAAAATTAAAAAATTCTGAACATCTGATTTCAAGTTTAATTTATAAGAATTCTGATATGTATTCTTCAGGAATATAAAAATAAATTAACCTTTTCCTCGGAGCCATAATTAAACGCATCAGAGTTCTCTGCATACTTCCCAAATGTATCCTTAAAAAATTCTAAAATAATTAATTATATTTTAAAAATCAATTACTTTTTATTTAAAAATATAAAAAAATTTTAATAAAAAAAAATTTTAAAAAAATTCAAAATATAATTCATAAATTTATTCGTTTGAGTACATAAACATATTAATAAAATAAATGAGGAAATAAAATAAAAATGAAAGATTAAAAGTAGTAGAGAAATTTTGAGAGGATTCTCAAAATTACATAAATATACCTAATTTCTCTTTTTGTAGTTTATAAGCAAAAAAAAATTTTTTTTTTTATTTTTGTTCAAAAATATTTCTTTAAATTTGATTTTGCTCAAAAAAAATTAAAAAAAAATTTTTTTAATTTGATTTTGTTCAAAATTGAAATTTTTTTCATTTTTTTGTTCAAATAAATTTTTAAAAATTCTTTTTAAAAAATTTTTTTTATTATTTTTTTAATTAAAAAAAAGTTCAAACATTATTTATTTAATTCAAAATATTTTCCGTCTAGTCTTTTAATAATATAACAAAATAATAAACAAAAAAAACATTCAAAATGTTGTTTTAACAATTAAAGAGGAAGAAGAATTGAGCGAGAAAAAAAAGAAAAAAAAAAGTGAATGTGTATAAATGGCGCTTATTTTGTTTGTTTCGTGTTGGATAAAAAAAATAAATGAATAACTCTCATAAATCTAACAATAAGGGGGAAAATTCTTAACAAAAATTTTTTTAAACATTTTAATGTAGACAAGATTAAATTTAAAAAAAGTATTCCAAAAACCTTATGATCTCTGATAATTTTTAAAAATAATTCCAAGGGCCGTCTTCCAAAAAAGCGTGTCACGACACTTGCAGATATGACATTTGCAGACCCGACACTTGCAGACCCGACTTTTGCAGACCCGACATTTGCAGATACCGACACTTGCAGATATGACACTTGCAGATCAGACAGTTGCAGACCCGACTTTTGCAGATTAGACCCATTTCGCTCTCTTCTTTACCTTACCTATACACTGTGGAGTGTTTGCTGCTGCGGAGGAATCCTAAGATGCCCATCTCATCAATGATAGGAATAGGATCATGTTACGAGCTCAGCGACCGTTGACTTCCCCCTCGTACATTTATGAATTTATTTTTTTCGTTTTCGTTTCGTTGAGGCGAAAATTCTATTTTCGCCCATCTCTGGTCGAGACGAATTGGTATTGGTCTTAAATCAAAACCTTTCTACCGGTATATATCCTTTGATTTTTTAAGATTTTTAAATTTTTTTAAATTTTTTTCAAAAATTAATATCTGCAAAAGTCGGATCTGCAAATGTCTGATCTGCAAGTGTCATATCTGCAAGTGTCGGTATCTGCAAATGTCGATCTGCAAAAGTCGTCTGCAAATGTCGGGTCTGCAAATGTCATATCTGCAAGTGTCGTATGACCCAAAAAAGTACTAGAAGTAAAGAAGATTACCCCCCCCCCCCCCCCCCATAACTTCTATAAATTGTTTAAACTAGGGATTATCAGTTAGTGTTCTTAACAAAAAAATCTTGAGATATCCGGAACGGAACCGAGGGAAAACGAAAAAATCCTCAGTTCGGTTCAGAATCGAAGACAATTAATCAAGTGCCGGTATAAGTAGTATATAAGTACACGCTTTTTATTCCCTTATTTTAAAGGAAATAAAGAAGCGTAAATAAATAATATTAACTAAATGTGAATATCGAGGGTAGACATTTAGCTTAATTTTAGAAGTAATTAAAAATAAACAGACAATTTTCCCCCCAAAAAATACAAACAAAAAACAAAGATGATTTGAAATGTGAGCTAAGCTTTGTAAAAATTAGTTTATTTAAGTAGAATGTGTAAGCTATTTTTATATTTTATTTTATCTTAGATACTATTAGTAACGCTGAATGATCAATTTCAGATCGGCACCAGTAGCTTAACAAACAAGGATCTGAGGTTCAGCAAAAATATCTATTTATATATTTATACTTCTTATATCGTAAAAAAATATAATTTTAAAAATATTATTACATGACGCTTTTTGTATAAAATATTCTTAGTATTAATATGTTACAAAATGTATTAATATCTTACAAAATATTTTTAAACTTTCGACATTTTAAACTTTTATTTAATCAAATGTTTATATTGTTATTAATTTATTAAAAATAATTTAATAATTACGACGCAATGTGTGAAGATCATCGTCGGGTTGAAGCAATGTATTATAAATTAACTATATTTGAGGAAATTTATTATTTTTTTTTCATAGAATAAATTAATAAATCTATTTTTTTATCTTCCTTATTTAAGTAGACTGTAAGCTATTTTTATATTTTATTTTATCTTAGATACTACTAGTAACCCTGAATGATCAATTTCAGATCGGCACCAGTAGCTTAACAAACAAGGATCTGATGTTCAGCAAAAATATTTATTGTATATTTATATTTCTTGTATCGTAAAAAATAATATTATTTTAAAAACCGGCACAATAGAGCAGTAAGAATTGTTGAATTCATAGTTTGAGTTTTGCCGGTTCCAGGCATACCCTTAAAAGAAAAATGTCACACTTTATATTTGAAAGATACAAAACCTGTATAACACTGCATGAATGCGGTTGGAGGGCACGGCGGACAACAGTCTTTTGATCAGAAGATAAATTAAAAGGGTTCAAGGCAAGAATCTGTTCCATACGATCAAGGTCATAATGGACATGCTCGAAGTCATTGAATTGGGAATAAAATTGCAGATGCATGTTGTCGTGATAAATGTATTCTCTAGCAATACTATAAAGTTCACGATGACGAGCTAATATATTGAGTAAGATAAATATAAACTGTCAAATGTACAAAAAGACTTACGTTTTGAACCATCATCGTCAACAATTTTTTTCGACCGATTACTTGATCATTTTCAGCATCAATTTTCCCAACTCTAGATGGATTTTTACAAAGCTTAGCTCACATTTCGAATCATCTTTGTTTTTTGTTTGTATTTTTTTGGGGGAAATTGTCTGCTTATTTTTAATTAGCTCTAAAATTAAGCTAAATACCTACCCTCGATATTCACATTTAGTTAATATTATTTATTCACGCTTTATTTCCTTTAAAAAAGGGAATAAAAAGCGTGTATATACTACTGGTATAGCTAAACTAAACTCCTTTGAATTTTTTAAGTTTAGAGTATTTATTCAAAAAATAAATTTTTAAACCCAAAAATTTTAATTTTGCCTAAAATGAATTCGAAAAAACACAAAAATAATATTTAATAAGGGAAAAGAAAAAATAGCTCATTTTCGTTGAATTAAAGCAAAAAAACTCAGCAATACAGAGAATATAATAATCAAAAATATGACACCTTGTTCGAAACATTTTTTGAGAAGTGGAGGAGAATATGAGAAATCAATTATTTCGTTTGATTTTTAAAATATAGTCTAAACTCTTTAACTAAATACCTAAATTTAAGATAACGTTCTCAAATTTAAGTAGCTATAGGGAAATGGGGGAGGCGAATGGGGAAACTGTATAAGCGATGCCCTAAGATCAAGACACCCCTAACTATAAGATAATTTTTCAGCACTAACAACTAGGGTTGTCGGTTCGGAACCGGACCGAAGAACCGAGATTTTTCGGTTCAGTTCAGGATAACCGAAGTTTTTCTAGAACCGACAACTCTACTAACAACCATTATTTACTGCACACTCTAATTTTTGGTACCATTCGAGGACCTCAATTTTCTATTATTATCTGATAGCCGTTTACCTCCAAAATTACTTTGGGCCGAGTTTAAAAACGAGATTAGACTGTATTTTCTAATTAACCAAAAATATCAAACCTTTCATTTATTTATTCTTTTTAATTTTCTCACCAGCATCATTATTATTCTCAACAACCAAATTTTCATTTGAAGAACAAATTTTTAATTTTTTCCTTCGTTTATGAACATCTTCCTGTATTGCACCCAAATTTTCACAAGAAGAATCTAAATAACAATCACGAATACCCCCACCACGAACTTCTACTTCGCGAGTAAGCATTTGATATTTTGTCCACCAAATTGAAACCCAAACACAAAATATTGTGCCAACAGCCTTAAAAATATTTTTTTAAAAATTTATATCAATCAATCTTTAGCAAATAAATTAGTCCTCCCATTATTTAATAAACATTGAGGTGAGGCTTTGAACAAATGAGGTCTCTAAATAAGGATTACGAATAGGGTTGTCGGTTCTGGACCGAACTGAAAAACCGAGGATTTTTCGGTTCGGTTAGGATATCCGAAGAATTTCCAGGAACCGACAACCCTAATTACAAAGTAAATATTACCTAGATGATAGGAAGAACGAAAAAGTTAGGGCAACAGATAGGGCAAGAAATTTTGTTAGCATAAGGATCCGCTAATGTTTTTCCCTTATTTGTCTCAATTAAATAAAAGGGATGTATTACAAAAAGTCGTTTGCAACATGCGACAGAAAAAATTTCTAAAACAAAATCGCGCGTGATTTTCTTTATTTTTCCATATTTTTTCAGAAGAAAGACATTCGCGATTTTTATGTTAACGTAAACATTAGCGAGATCTGACTCTTGATAAACGTCAAGATTCATTTCTCATTACACTGACTTAAATTCAGAACCGACGATATCAATAATTGGCTGAATTTTTAATAAATAAAAATATTAACCAAAAAAGCAATCCAAAGGCCAATTAACCAAAGTTTAACAGAAGGCAATTGTTCACGACCAAATTTAATGCAAATAGAAGCTTCTAAAGCACAAATAACAGCATAGAGCCTAAGAAATATTAAAATAAAATTTAAAAAAATCTTAAAAAAACCAGCATTGCATTCCCATCCTTTTAACTTTTGGATCAGTCACATAAATATAATATTGACTTTAAAAAATGAAATAATATTAAAATATTATTTTAAAAGAAGAAACCGAATTGTTGGAGCACAAATAAGACAAATTAAAATTATATGCCAAAAAACAACAGGATGGGAAGTGTCGATAGCAAAGACGTGTTTAAGGAAGAAAACGTTTAATTCTGTTGCCTTAAAAAATTAAAAATAAATTAATTAAAATTTAAATATAATTTTATTGGGAAAAGGATTTTTAGGGCTGAGTGGACATAAAAAAAACTTCAAAAAGCAAAAAATTGAAACAGATCCCACAAAAAAGTTATTAAACGCTTAATAAACCCATCTACCGACTGATGGTTTTGATTTAAATTTTAACAAGTAGGATTGGGGAAAACTCGCCTTTCTTAAAATTAGGGTTGGGTTTTTCGAGTAGGGCCGACGTTCGAGTCATTTTTCGGACTTCATTTTATCAGGCCGGCCCGACCGAGTCTTTTTCGGGCCAAAATTCTATGCCCGCTCGATCTTTCGGATTAGGCCGGATCGTGCACCAAACCCTACTTAAAATACTATCTAAGGATTTGGAAGGGGACTATTTATTTGCCTAGAAATTTCATAATTTTATCCTTAAAATAAACTGTTCAATAAATCAGTTCATTTCCCTATACTAAAATTTAAATAATCGAAAAAATTCCCAGAAAAACTTACCAACCAAATCATAATGAACATATATATTGCAATACAACGTTTTAACCCCGCCCAAGTAGATGCCCAAGTAGAAACTTCCCCTCTAGCATCAGCAGCCATTATAGCAACAGATCTAATTGAAGAAGCTGATGTTGGGGTTAAAATTGGAGTTTTGACATTTTCTGGGGTTTTTAAAGTTTTGTTGTTGACATTTTCTGGTGATAAACTTTTTGCTGTATTTAAATCGGCTTCTTTTTTGTTTGAAGATAAATCACTTCCTTTTAACCAATTAACGGTAATCCAACTTTCTGGGGTAAATTGAAGAACTGCTCGACGAAGTTTACCGTGAATTGTTCGAATATTCCTTTGAAAAGGAAAAAGAAATTAATTTTTTTATTAAAATTGTTTAAAAAGAGTAATGGAGAAATTAAAAAAAATAATTTTAGGAAGGGCAGAATAAAAACTTCAACACTAATTGTAAGGAACAGGGCAGAAATCGAACCTGTGAACATCAGGTAGTTTTGAGTAATTCAGGATACTTTGCTTATGTATTACGTGTAAGGGTCCCACCCGGATTATATCTCTAACAGCTGTGTCAAATGTCAAAAAGATGATAAATGATACTAACAGGCTCACTGTGCTCTAGAACTATCGAGGCTACAGATAACTTTGTTTTACTTATTCAATCTTAAACACCATCTAAACGTTTTAAAAATAACCAGTTAGACATCCCTCTTTTCTCCCTTAAATGTCTACATTCCCCAATTTTATATAAAAAAACAAACTTTATACTTTCCCAATGATATTGACGCATTTCCAAAAATCTACAAACCCAATTACCAAAAAGAATTCCAAATCCATTACAAATTAAAATATCTAAAAGTATTGCATCCCACCAGCATTCTTGAAAATTCGGAAGTAAATGGGCAAAAGCTAACTTAAAAAGAAGAAAAATTAAAATCATTATTAACAAATCGAGAACAGGCTACGACTACGAGCACATTTTACCAATAGGTTTAGCTGTCCAATAAGTATATTGGATAAACAAATTTGAGAATCAAAAAAACGATCCAAACAGACACAAAAAAGCTTGAGGACTTAACTCTTACTTAATATTAACCAAAAATTGAAACAAAAACAACAAAATTCGAACAATTCTGAAAGAGTGAGTTAGTGGCAAAACAAGGTAAAGGAGATACTAGAACACTAGTAACCAAAAATTTTTAGAGAGAATCGAAAAAAGATCCAAACAAACTTGAAGGACTTTACTCTTACAATTAGCTATTATAATAAAAAAATATTAGCTAAAAATTGAAATTTTAAAATTATGTTGAATAAACAAAATTTCTTTTAAAGAAAAATCTAAAATTCAAAAAAAACCTCAGTAAGTTCCCAAGAAATACTTATATACCAACAAATAATTGTATGCCTAATCATTAACGCTTTCATTGCCCATCCAAGAAAATGGCCAACAGCAAAAATATCCATATGACCCCAAATTCGTGAAATTGATACATCTGTACAATTAACTGCATATTCCTTTAAAAAATTAATTTTTAAAATTTTGTTAGATGATTGGAAGTAAATGAAGAAGGAAAACAACAGAGTATAAGCTAAAAAGCTTTAAGAAACTGAAGGCTAACAAAGAACTATAAACAAAAAATTTTCTATAGGATGGTTGAGTTACAACTCTGTTAATGACAGTTAAGGTATAAATAAAAGCTAATAAGTATGTCCTATTTAAAATCTGATTTTAAAAGTTAATGTAGACAGGCTTAATTATGTTTTGCAAAAGGAGTGGAAGGCAATCACAAAATAAAATTTTTGGCTCTATCCGAAAGGAATGCCGGCATCCGATTTTTTCCATATTTTAAAAAAGGTTAAGTATAGAGAAAATATAAGGAAATTAACCACTTTAATAATATGGAAAAATTGGATGCCGGCAGTCCTTACGGATAGAGCCAAAAATTTTTTTGCGAGGATAAATAAACTATAAATAGTAGATTTAAAAAACCCCCAAACAAAAATTAAAAAAACTCCCAAACCTTTTCAGTTAAATTTCGAAGACTTAACCCAACAGGATCAATCCAAGAAAGAACAGCTTTAACATCATCATAACTTTGATATAAAGTAAATTGTAATAACAAAGCATAAAGAACACTTAAACCAAAAACAATTCTCCAAATAATTGGATGTGGACGAATAAATGGGCCATTAGGGAAAATCATTGCACTTTAAAAGAAAAAAATATGAATATTATTAAATTATTAAAGAAAACCCCAATCTACCTCAACTTAATCTATGACAGCTCCAATTAATTAAAGAAAGGTCGATCGTTGGAAAGTTTTGGTATAATTCAACCTATCACGACTAGATGTGTTTAATGATATCAAAATCAGTTTGACAGGAAATTTTCATTTTTATGGCCCTGTGACAGATTGGGTCACAGAAAGCCTGACCAGTTTATCATTAGAGATGGGTCGGCTCATCCAGAATCAGACTTTTTCCTCAATCCGACCCATCTCTCATTCAAACATTACTAGTACTTAATGGATGGAGCTCTAACAGACTAGGACACGGAAAGCCTGACCAGTTTCACATAAGTGATGTTTCGACTTATCCAAAACAAGACTTTTTCCTCAATCCGACCCATCTCTCATTCACACAACTAATAATTAATGGGTGGAGCGGGGCTTAGGAGAATCAAAAATTCTTTTGATGGGATTATTTTGGTATAGAAAACTAAAAATTTTTTTCTAAAAACCGTGACAAGCCCAAGTAGTCGCGCGGCCATAACGGCGCAAAGCCATAACATGCCGGAAAATTTCTTGCCCTTATCAATTTTGGTACCAATTTTGTAGAGCTGTCCGAGACCAAAATTTTTCCAAGACTCAAGACTCAAGACCCAAGACAAAATTTTTTCCAAGACCAAGACTCAAGACCAAAACTCCAAGACTCAAGACCAAAAATCAAGACCAAATTTTTAAATCCCATAAATCAAATTTTTGGTTTATTTTTTGTTATTTTGATACGATCAGTCAACTTCAGCACAATTATATATAATTTCGAAAAATTTATGCGAAATTCAAAGAATTTCGGGGAATTTATTCGTATGGAAAATCAATAAAATAGGTTATTATTTCAGAGAATTTGGGTGGATTAACGGGATATTAGTGATATCAAAGGATTAAGAGGGATTGCCGTGGGATTTAGTGAATTATGAGGGATGTCTTGGGATTTTACGTCTGGAACGCCAAGGTAAGGCCAAAATTTTGGCGATACCCAACGTTAGCCCCCCCCCCCATTCGAAATCGACCCCCTAGCTACGCCCTTGGATTAAGAAGGATATCAAGGTTTAAAGGGGAATTTAAGTAGATTATGAGGGATCAAAAGGAATAGTATGAAGTTGGGGGACCTGGGTGATTAGGTGATGGTGGCTGCTGATATCCATCCTCTATTTTATCCCTATCTTTTTGCGCGCATGCGAAAATTTGAACAATTTTGGAAGGCCAAGAAGCCAGAATTCTTCATTTTCCAGCGCCGCAGGCGAAAATTTTGGGAATTATGAAGGCCGAGAAGCCAAAAATCTTCCTTTTCCTGCGCCGCAGGCAAAAATTTTAATATTTTGGAAGGCCTTATGCCAAAAAATCACTTTTTCAGCGCCGCAGGCGAAAATTTTTTGAATTTTGGGACTCAAGAAGCCAGATTTCCTCCATTTTCTGCGCCGCAGGCGAAAATTTTGAGGATTTTGGATGGCCAAGCACTAGGTCCAAAAAGGCCAAAAAACCAAGACCAAAAAATAAAACCAAGACAAGACCAGGACAAACACCCCAAGACCAAGACCGAAAAAAACCCAAGAAAAGTCTTGGTTCCAAGACCAAGACCAAGAGTCTCGGACAGCTCTACAATTTGGTTATCAATTCTGAATCGCTCAATACTAAATTTTAAAAAATTCGAAAATCTTGAAGCAAGTCGCGCCTATTGGCCGCACGTCTACTTGGGCTGTACACCTCAAAACCTATTGTGTAAAAAATAAAAAAATTTCGAATCAAACTAATGTTTTAATAAAAATAAATTTAAAAAATACCTAATAATAAGAAAAAGAATGAACAAAGCTTTAAGCCCTCTAAAAACATTAATATCCGTTGATCCCAATTGCCTTTAAAAATAAAAATTTATAATTTAAAAAATTCAAAAAAACTTTGTAAAAACAACATCATAAATTAAATAAGCACAAAGGAGACCAAGAACTGAAAGAATAAATAAAAAATTAAAATTAAGAAAAAAACCTGTAAGAGTGTGAGGTTTATATAAAGCCTCTAAAGTAATATCCTTTAAGAAAGAAAAATTGTTTTAATAATTTTACCCATTAAATTTAAAACAAAACTTACATTAACAACCCTTTCATTAATTAAACGAAAATGAAGTCGCTCAATTTCTGTTGGATTTCGATGTTTAAATTTCTTTCGAGAACTAGAATTTAATTTAAATAAAAAAATTTTTTTATTTTGACTATAAAATTTTGATAATTCTAAAAAAATTGTCCACAAAGTATCTTCCCAAAAAATCTTTTCGTCTATAGAGGGTAATAGTTTGGAACTCGCCCCGCTTTTTTTCCTTTCTATTCTTTCCCAGTTTTTTCTCATTTTATGGCAAATTATATATCAATCGAAAGATCTCTTTAAGCTGAGTCGAATGACATTAAAATCAACGAAATCTGATTTAAGTGAACAAAGTTGTGACCTTTAATTTTATCCCCTTGGATTGTCACAAAAAGTCTTCCCAATAAGGATTTAGCTTCATAATTTTGGCAAGAATGATCAGATCTAGCCAATCATGGTATCATTCGACCAAGCTCGAAGAGCGCTTTCGAATGATATATAAATTATCTATCAAACAAAAAAGCTCAAAATGGTCAGGGAAACAGTAAAAAAGGGGGGCGAATTTCAAACTATTACCAATTAGAGTGCGACACGTGATGAGCCCCCATACGGGATTTAAGTGATCCCGCCCTGAAATCCAGAGGTTTAAGCGACAAACGGGATTAAGCCTGGGGGATTCCGGCCCGTACAAAATTTTGAAAAAAATTTCGTTATGAAGTACCGGGAATGAATTTTGCTGCAAATTCACGTTTAATTTCTACATTAGTTCAAAACACTTGAGGAAAAAAATAAAAAGAAACCTTTTATTTGTTTCAGGAGAAGACCATTCATCTCCACTATCTAAATCAGTTTCTGCATTATCCGTTTCATTATTTGTTTCTGTATAAATTCTATCAGAATCTTCTACATTTGTTAAATTATTCATTTTTTCTCTAAAAAATAAAAAAATAAAAAAATTTAAATTGAAAAACAAAAAAGGAAACAAACGAAAAATAGAAAATGGCACGGGAGTGGATCCCGTTCTGTGAGGAGATTGGTACCAAAAAGGCCAGATATTTTCCAGCAAGTTATCGATTTGCGCCGTAATGGCGTAGCGCCTACTTGGGCTGTACGCGCAAACACATTGTCTCGTTTTTACAACTTTGACCTCTCGAATGGCCATTCTCTCTTCTATTTTTTTCACAACTGGTCACTCAAATTCACTTGTCTAATTTTCCCCATTTTGTCGTTGTCATTATTTTCTATATACCCGTTAAAATTATTGGAAATAGAGAGTGAATGGAAGGTGCCCTTAGGTTCTTTTATATTTTTTAAAATTTATAGGATTGTACAATCTCTTCTGCTAAATTCCCCCCAGTTGGCAGATTCTGCTGATAAATTGATGCAAAAATGTGTTGAAGTGTTGACACTTATTGGTCGATGTTGGTCTAAACAATGGACAAACAGTTTACACAGCAAATTGTCGAGAGAATATGGACTTTCTGGATTTATTTTTGATGAGGTTTTGATTGAGATTTTATTTTAGTTTTTTTTTAATTTTAGACAATGTTCGATTTTCCAGCAAAAGTTCTTTCGGCAGTTACTGGAGTTCTTCAACTACCTCCAACAACACAAATTAGATCAATACCCTCAATTACTTCCCAACAACCACATGTACTTGGCCATGCTTAAAGGCTGGCATTTGGCCATGCCCTACGCTGGCATTTGGCCATGCTTAAAGGCTGGCACTTGGCCATGCCCTACGCTGGCATTGGTTAATCAACCAACTTCTTTCGGTTAGTCTTTTGCCTCTGAATATTTAATTGGAATAAATGCATTCTTTATATCTTTTATTTTCCCCATACCATTTTATTATAAAAACTGATACTATTGCTTGTAAATTATAAGCTCAAGAGTAACTGGCAGTACTCAACTGTCAGTTACTCAACTGTCAGAGAATTTTGAATTTTAATGCTATTGGCATTCTGTTTAAATTACTAAAAATCTACTATTTAAACCATTCTTTTCGGATTTTCGTTGTTTTGTTAATTCCTTTAATTTTTAATTAACTAAACTTTGATGCTTTTTTTATTTCAGTAATTTTCAAAATGGCTGAGAATTTGTATGAAAATGCTTCGAGTTTGGACAACGTTGTTGGGACGCAGTCTAGTCCTAGTGGATCAGCAACATCAATTTATGTTACCAATCTGGTTGATCAACTGCGTGAGGAACTTCGCTTGGAACGTGAGGAAAATGCGAGACTTCGAAAGCGCAATGTTAAAGTATATCTTTCAATGATTGACTTTTACACATTTTATATTTCAGCTTGAGGGTATCATAAGAAGTGGACAAGCTGTTCTCGGGACTGCTTTTGCTGCTAAAGGTAAACAAAGAATGTAAAAAATAATGTTTTTTCTATTCAGAAAAGAAGGCGGAGACTCCAAAGAAGCTTGACTCTCCTAAGAAAATTGACGGTGCTAAGAAGGTCGACGGTGCGAAGAAGGATGGCGCCCCAAAGAATAAGTAAATGGGATTAAAATTTTCTGGAAGAATATGGAAATATTTAAAATGGATATATTTAAAATGTTAAATTAAAAAAATTGTTTCCGAATAAATTTTGTTGTGAGAAGTTTGTTTGAATTTTAGTCCAAACGTTTATATTTCGTTTAGTTTGTACCTTTTCGTGTACTTGTTCGACTTTTTAACACTTTTGATTATGCTTGTCTCAACTAATTGTGAACACGATGTTGCACAAAAAATGTAACTTGGATGATATGTATAGGAAATTTCTAATAGGAAATTTATAGTCCATAACCTTTTTTTTAAAGATTGACCGAAAAGTGGTAGTCGACCAAACAAGCAAAATCATTTTTTCAATTTTTTTATTTTCAAATTTAGCTTGCCTACAATCAATTTTTTGGGTCAATTATTGCTCTAGACGAACAATTGGTGTGTGCCCGTCGTGAATATAATGGGCAATTCCATATGGCTAATATGCTTACTAGAGTTGTCGATTTAGATGTTTTCCCTGTTGAATTTGCAGTTGGGGAAGAGATGATTTGGCGTTGCTTTCTTTCCTCACAGGATTTGCAACGGGCGCTGGAGATGAAAAAGTTCCTTATGGCCTTGAATCAGAGAAGTACTGAAAGTAGAAAATCGGTTGTGATTTTTTAAAATTATTTCTTTTGTTTTGATTTAGAATGGGGAGAAGTTTATTGAGAATTGTTGACTTTAGAGGCGCCATTTTAATTTCTTTTTGGGGGTAATGGATAATAGGTAGCGGCAAAATCGATTTTTCCGGAGTCGGATTCGAATTTTTAACGAGTTGCACCGGCTACTTCTGACAATGAAACACTTTTTTTAAGTTTTTATTTTTACAGGACTTTGCAGCACCTGTTATTGACATGAATATCTTGCAAATGTTTGTTGAATTGAACGTTTTGATTGCTGCAGATCGGAAACGTCCTCCTTTGAATAATGATTTTGCTTCATTTTCCTATGCTTATTTGTTGCTAGAACGTCTTCGAGTATTTTTTATTTTTTTAAATTACAAAAAATTCTTTTCTAAAGCTTTTACTTCGTCCGCTTAAAACTTATTCACCTTTTGACGGCCGTCTTTCTGGAAAATTTAGGACAGAAGAAGTTGGCGATTTAATGCATGTTACTTCTTCAATATCTAATGTGATGAATGTTGAATCTGCTAGACGTCTTTCTTTCTACCGATGGCCTCATAAAGACTTTAAGTAAAGAATTTTTGAAATCTTATTTTGGATATAGTTTAGTATACCTGAGTTTTAGTCCCGATATAAAACCCATACCATTCGATTCGTCTCGGCGAGCTGAGTCGAACGGTACCACTCTCCAGGTGTTGTAACATAATCCTATTCCTATCATTATGAAGTGGGCATCCCAGGCTGCCTCCGTAGAAGCAAAACCTCCACTGATGCTATAGCTAAGGAGCTAAAACAAACGATCATAACTTTGTTCAATCTTGTTCAATCACGGGTTTTTCATGTCTTTCGACTCAGCTCGAGGAGCTCTTTCGAATGTGCTATCATTAAAAAAATCGAATTTTTCACCCCAAAATTGTGCTTACTCCCCCCTATGGTTTTTCGATTTTCGGGGACCTATATCTCGGCCCACAGGCATTTCCGCGCCTGGAGAGTGGTACCGTTCGACTCAGCTCGCCGAGACGAATTGAATGTTTTATATCGGAACTAAAACTCCGGTATACTAAACTACAGCCCTTATTTTAATTAAATGTTTTAGAGACTTATTCTGTGAAACATAGAAAAGAAATTTTCCATTTTTTCTAAAATTTAGTTTAGGTTGAGGTAATCTTGATTTGATAATATATTGTTTCTATTTTTCCGTTTACAATGTTTTTCAAAACCCGTATGAAAAATTGGGTTGGACTGCTGTCTTTCGATCCAGGGCCCCTTCTATATTCTTTTAAAAAATTTTATTTTTTTTTAAATTTATTTTTAAGAGAAAAGAATTCATTCTTCTGTTGAAATAGACTTTGACGAGCCCGAAGAGGAACAACAGAATGAGGAAGTAATGATTATCGATAATATTGAACTTGATCAAAATGTTGCGTCTTCGTCGAATGCTTTGCCTAAAGTGTCTGATGCTGTTGAACGTTTCTATTGCGATAAACTTAGAGGATTACAATTTGGTTGGGGTTTTTTAATTTTTTTCATAAATATTTATTAGATATCCGTGTTAAGCATTCAAAAATCACCCTAATTTTAAGTAATTTTCAAAAATATTATTTACGTCCATTTTTATTCTGCTGACAAGGAACAATATCGAACTGTCACCAAAAATTTCGTAATAATTTTTATACCATCGTGTAGAGCATAGTCGAAACCATATTGTAGTACTTTTCTTTTTCGGCCCTACCCCCCATTTCGAAAAGTTATGGGGCTTCAAAGTTTTCGACTTTTGGAGCGGTTGAGTCGCCCTCAAAAAAGAGAGCTTTTTCTTTTAATAAGGGGAAAAATAAGACTCCCATCCTCCTTTTTCCTTTCCTTTTCTTTTCCACTAGTAGAAAAGAAAGAGAAAAGGAGGAGAGAAAAGGAAAGGAAAAGAGGCATCTCTGCCATCTCCTCTTTTGTTTTTAATCCGCATTGGGTGAAAGGCAGAGTAGCCTTTTCCTTTTCTTTTCTCTCTCCTCCTTTTCTCTTTCTTTAACAAACATGGGAAAAGAAAGGAAAGGAAAAATGGAGAAAAGGAGTCTCATTTTTCTCCTTAGGAAGCAAATAATAAGAAAAGTGAGGGCGACTCAACTGCTCCAAAAGTCGAAAACTTTGAAGCCCCATAACTTTTCGAAATGGGGGTAGGGCCGAAAAAGAAAAGTACTACAAGATGGTTTCGACTATGCTCTACACGATGGTATAAAAATTATTACGAAATTTTTGGTGACAGTTCGATATTGTTCCTTGTGAGTTTTAACCTCCCTTTTACTTGCACCATAGTGATAATTTTTGGAATTTTACTTAAACAATTTATTAGATTTAAAAATCTTATAGGGAGGTATAAATTCAATGGCTAGTGCTGGAGGTTCAGCTTTAGGCAAACGAACTCGTCGATTAGCACAGGAAATTGTTTCTTTGAGCAGTTCATTGCCTCTTTCATTTAGTAGCGGTGTTTTTGTTCGAACTTGTGAAGAAAGATTGGATGCTATGAAGGTTTTCTTGTAAAAATTTTAACAAAAAATTTTTTTTTCTTTACAGGTTTTAATAACGGGTCCATCAGATACTCCTTATGCAAATGGATGTTTTGAATTTGATGTTTTCTTCCCTCCAGATTATCCAAATGTTCCAATGCAAATGAATTTGGAGACAACGGGGAATCGGACAGTTCGATTTAGTTGGTTTTTTCTTTAACTTTTTGGACAAAAATTAAAATTTTTTTTAAAGATCCAAATCTTTACGATGATGGAAGAAATTGTCAAATCTCATTTTTGGATGAAACGAGACGAAATCTGTGTTCAAGTGGAAGCTTGGATTGAAGATATTCAACATTATATAACTACACATGCGAGTAGCGGAAAAGTTTTGCCTAATTATTTGGCTGGACTTAAAGTATTTTTTTTAATTTTATTAAAAAAAATTTTTTTAAATTAAATTTAGAAACATTATGAAACTTTAAAAATGGAATTTAAAAAGATGACAGCTCCTCCAGGTTTGAAAAATTGTAAATCGAAACGATTTGATATTGAGAATGAGGGAGGGGAGCTTAAATAAATAAATTGGGGGGTTTTTTGGAGTGAATAAAAAATATATTTTTTTATTTAATAAATAAAATTTGTGTTTTATCGAATTGACTTTATAAATAATTTTTTTGTCGATAAATTATACATAATAAAAAAGTTTTAAATTTTTTAAAGATTTGTTTTAATTGTTTAAAATTTAGTCATGAATTTTCCAAAATTTTCGCCAGCGGCGCAAAAAGAGGAAGAAATCTGGAGCCTTGGTTTACCATAATTCTCAAAATTTTTGCCTGCGGCGCTAAAAATGGAAGAACCTTGCCATAGTTTGTCGCCCGATATTCCCCTAGATCCACTATCACTCAAATCCTCCATATCCTTCGGAATTTACCTGAATACTCCTGAGTCCCTCTTAATCCACATAAATACCAAAACGTAAACCACTAAAATTCCAGTTCTATTCTACTGAAATGTTTTCAAAGCGAGGTACGGACTTCTGAATATCCTGAAATATAGGATATAAAATAAAGGATGGAACCTGGTTTATGTCTGATATCCCCTCAAATCCCTTGATATCCCGGATGCCTGACAAAATCCTAATGGTGATTTAAGATTCAGTTGAGGCTTTGATGAGGAACAAAGCACTGAGTTGATATATCCTTACAGATTTTTCAGCGTATCGGAAAATTGTAAGAATTTCGGAAAATTGTAGAATTCGGAAGATCGACAAATTCACGTCAATAGTTCAGCAACAACAGAAAATTATCGATAAACTAGGAAGACAAGAGCTGAATTCAACGAGGTCTTAAACTTGTTCAGCAACTTGCACACTTTGAGCAACCTTAAAACTTGGCGAATTTGAGTGGAGGAAAGCAGCAAAGAAACACCACAACACCAACGGCAATACCATCACAAATTGGGACTGCTTCACCTACAAACCAGCACAGAAGACCAGCCGAATCAGCATAACATTGGCAACTTAAAGGACCACCAATAAAGGAACCACGTCTCCCTGTACTACGACAATTTGTGACATCCGTGGAACTTCACAACAATCCCGTCAGCGTCGAGGATTTATCCGTTGTAAAATGGGATACATCCACACAGCAAATGAAATGTCAAATTTAAAAAAAGTCAACATAAACTACTAAGGACCCAGTGAAGATCTGCTAATAAATAGGATTTAAAATTCTTATAAATTTCACGTTTCATAAGAAAACAAAAAGTACTATATGAAATATCTAAAATTTAGTTATTTAGAACGACTTTTACAGATTTCGTCGTCAAGAATTTATATATTAGTTTGTCTATGAATTCTAATTTTATTATATTACTTGAAATTTAGAATATAAAATTATATAATTAAGTTAATAATTAATATTACTACATTTTGTTAAGATTCCGAATTTAATATTATAACTAAAGTTATATGAGATAAATAAAAAATTACATATTTAGATCTTTTTATGATTGAATATACTTTCTTGGATATAGGTACTATTGATTCATATATTTTTGTTTATTAGTTTTTGAATTATCCAATATGAAATAATATAAATAGAAGTTAAGATTTTTCTAATTTTAATGTTTTATAAGAAAACTAAAATTACTATATGAAATATCTAAAATTTAGTTATTTAGAACGACTTTTAAAGATTTCGTCGTCAAGAATTTATATATTAGTTTGTCTATAAATTTTAGTTTTATTATATTACTTGAAATATGTAATTATATAATTAAGTAATAATTAATATATAGTTTATTTATTTTGTTTAGCAACCCGATCCACTTTCCGTATAGCGCTGATCCTTCTTTTTGAAGCGACGTCGCACTATCAATATTTGGCATATTGCCCAATTTACTCAACAATTTGCAATTTACTCAACAATTCTGCAATATTTTCAATGAACAAATAACAATGCCACTAACCTGATTTGTTCTTCAATACAATTTTTGTTTAACCAATTTACGACCGCGCCAATTTGTTGTGTCTCTGCACAACAAGAAATAAGCAATACAATAATGAGTTTATCACACAAGAAATACAATAATATTGAAGTAATAGAATATGTTTAGGTAATAACTAGGAGACAATTAGGAGACACGGACTGACAATTGTGTGAGGCTTTTATAGTAGCCACCACACCACAACACCAACGGCAATAACATCACAAATTGGGACTGCTTCACCTACAAACCAGCACAGAAGACCAGCCGAATCAGCATAACATTGGCAAGACCACCAATAAAGGAACCACGTCTCCCTGTACTACGACAATTTGTGACATCCGTGGAACTTCACAACAATCCCGTCAGCGTCGAGGATTTATCCGTTGTAAAATGGGATACATCCACTTGAGTTATTCACTTTACAAA